GATCATGAAACCGACTACAAGGAAGAAGGCAACTTTAAAATATGATCCAAAAAGTAGGCCCTAAACCCACCATTTTATTAGAAAATAAAGAATAAAGTGACCCTGAGACACCAGAAACTATTTCGACAGGAGAGATACACAGGGAAATTGGTCCTATAAATTCTGACAGATGTACAAAATAACTACAGGATTTTCTTTCAGTGCACTGAGGTTACTACCCAGCTCTGACATAGTCATGGAGTGCCACCCATGCCATTTCCTCCCACTCATTTCATCTTTATTATGAGCTAAGTAGTTGGCAGACCATTTTCTGTACCTCTCACTTATCTTAATTTTCCCACCAAGATTTACTCCTATCCCTTCCCAGCAAGACATTCATAAAATATGCTTCTCTTAATCAACAGAGTTTCCTAGGACAAGTCTGGACAACCAAATAGTAAACATTACAGCATCGGGGAAATGGACACCATTTTTTCTTTCTTATTTTAATGTGGGTTTTTTTAAATAACTTTATTTTATTTATTCATTTATTTTTATGTGGTGCTGAGGATCGAACTCAGGACCTTGCACATGCAAGGCGAGCGCTCTACCGCTGAGCCACAACCCCAGTCCTGACACCATTTTTTCTTAACCCTGCAATGAAACTTCATTTCTCTCAGAGCAAAAACCAAAGTCCTTATAGTGATCTTCCAGAAGTGGCCCATGACCCCAGGGATACTTTACTACTGAGACTCACTGCAGTCTTTTTTTTATTTTTTATTTTTGGAACAGAGTCCTACTAAATTGCTTAGGGTTCTCACTAAGTTGCCCACACTGGCCTTGAACTTGTGATCCTCCTTCTTCAGCTCCCAAGTCGCTAGGATTATAGGCATGTGCCCCTGTGCCTGGCAAAACGATGTTCTTTGTATTACAAGACAGGTGAGACAAAATTTCACAAACTAACTAAGGTCTAATTTTTCATGCCATTCAAATTTAAAGTTTAAGTCCATATGAAAAGGAAACAAGCCTGTGCGAAATCCACTCCAAATGATGAAGAGTAAAAATGAAAAAAAAAGAAAGAGCAAAAAGAGGTATGAGATGACTGGAAACAATCAAATTAAGCTTTTGAAAGCTTTGTGTGAACACCAGACGGAAACATCCTAAGACATGACATTCATTCATAAGACATGATGGAATAATTTTAAAATATTAAATAGGTCTAAAGGCCAAAACTTAGACATCCACAGTATCCATTCAGCAAACAGCTATTTTAATGAAATGGAAAATGGCTACCATTCTCAAGCTGCCTCAAAACTTGTCCAATTGTTTTTTTTTTTAATTAAACGAGTAAAAAATGAAATATGTTATTATCTTTTACACAAAATGATTCTGACCATATCATCCTGAGTAAAAAAAAAAGACGGATTAAGCAGAGCCAAAATAAAAATTTAAAACATTATCTTCACAAAAACTATACTTAAATTGATCTTTTAAAAACCTTTATCATTGCTTAAAATGCAAGAAATAAACTTTTATCCTAAAATATTTTAACAGTCATCTAAAGTGCTGCAATAAAAAGTCGACAGAAAATCTATCTAGTTTTTATTTTACTCTCATTCTTCTTACTAAATGTATGTTAACAAAAAAAAAAACCCTCTCAAATGATCTAGACAAAAGCTTTTAACTCAACACATAATTGCAAGAAAATTACAATAATTGTACCAATTAAAATAATCTTGAATGAACAGTATGTCATCTTAATGTTCCAATGGTTTATAGAGGGATCTACTTAATTAGCTGAAATTGCTTTCCAGTGTTAGTATCAAATGTCATTTGTTAAAAGTTGAACAATTTAGAAAATAATTTAACAAAGCAATTTTACCAAACACCAAGAACCAACATTTTCTTTCTCAGATGAATAAAGCAAGCAGATGTGTCATCAAATTGCTATAAAAATAAATGAGGCTTTTTATGGATTAAAAAAATAAATTTTACTACTAACGTTAAAAATACTATTTTCTGATTGTTTTTACCAAATCAGATTTCTTTAATAAAATAAATGAATATCAATTATATACTGCTGCTTTTTATGGCTGTAAATAAAACTTTTTATTATTCAAATGACAAGCATCAAAGAACTCAACCACAGCTAACTAGAAACAGTTATCTAAATTACTGTAACATCCTCCAATATATGGTCTTTCAATATGCTGATAAAACTATCTTCCTATAGTTTTTCATTCCAAATCATCTCATTATATTTAATTATCTTAAGTCAACTCCTCATGAATCCTCAAAGATTACTTTCTACACTTTTTCTTGGCCTGGCTACAAATATTCTTCGTAAGTATTTGTTAGCATATAAGACAGACTTATTTCTCCAAAAAGAAAAAAGTCACCTTGAATCCAACTGACTCAAGGACTATGAGCTGCAAGGGCTGAGGTAAAAAACCAGTCTCTTACTGGTTTCATCACAAAACAAAGTTGACCTCACTTCATTATGCCTCCAACACACGATATTCTATATTGACTTGAACAACAACAAAAAAATCCCTTACAAAAAATTCACTCTGAGGTATTTTTGTTATATGATGAAAAATGCCCACACCCCCCAAAATAGTTATTTCACAAATATTCTATTTTTTATAAGCAGGGTACAATAATTACTATCACCTTCAAACTATATGTTAATTATTCTTTACTATAAAATACATTTCAATTAATTTAAAAACAAATTTTTGAAAATTTTCTACAAGGCTCAAAATGCTGGAAATTAGGATGAAAATTTTTAAAAGGTCAGGCAATTTTCTATTGGCAAAGAACAGTGGTTTTAGACTATGAAGTTTTAGACTAAGATTCAATCTGATACCAATTAAATTTAACTGCTAATTGCATAAGCCGTCTTATGTGTTCAAATTATGCTTCAAATGTGTTTTCTTTTAATCAGAATTCAGGTTCCTCAAAACTCAAGCATTTAGTAACTTTTGGAGCCTACCATTAAGATAATGGCTTAATCCCCCCCAAACCAAAGGTTGAATGTTCTCTCTCTGACATGTGAATGCTAACCCACATCAGGGGGAGGGAGAGAATATAAATTCAGTGGATTAGATAAAGGGGAATGAAGAGAAGGGAGGCGGGGATAGGAACAGAAAAGACAGTGGGATGAATCTGACATAACTTGCCTTTGTACATATATGACTATACCACAGTGAATCTCAACATTGTGTACATCCACCAGACTGGGATCCTAATTAGAATAAGTTATATTCCATGCTTGTATAAATATATCAAAATAGATTATACTGTCATATATAACTAAAAAGAATAAAAATAAAAATGATAATGTTTTAGATTATGAAATATGTAAACTGAGGCACACACATATGAACACCCTGTCCAGTATTACTCTGGTGATTATTAGCAGAGTAAGGACTGGAGCGAAGGGACCTAGACTTCTGAGTCATTGCTCTGTTCACTAAATCAGGCTGCTGGGCTCTGTGATAGGTGCCATCACAGTGTGAATTCACTTTAATGTGACGCCCAGCATAACGACATCATGGACCCATTCTAACCACCTCTCTGAACTTTATAAAGAGACAGAAATATATAAGGCACCAGGCAGAGCTTCTGGTGCTAGGGAAAAAAGGCTGGCGATGCTAAACAACCTGCCCTACTTAAATAGTCCTGTGAGAGAATTAGCTCCCTGTAAGTATTCAGATTTCTTAAAAACTAGAAATGCATTGCTAGATTAATGCATTAGTCTAAGAACTATGTCAATTCTCAAATTACTTCTGCTATGCCTTCCGAAGTCATCCTTCCAGTTTGGATAAAGCTTTTTTTCCCTAACTTCAAATTCAGTACAGTTCTAAGGAAGATTTATCCTTTTCTCTGACATATTCTTATTTATACACAAATGATAACACAAATTTCTCAAGGATAAATGAAAGTTCTCAAAGGACTGTTGTTCATGTTAAATAGGGCTTTATGAGATCATGAGAAAAATAAATCCCATGATATTGGTATTAATTATTATTAAGCAGTAATACTTTTTAAAAATTTTTAACTATTTAATAACTGTGCTTATCTAACAAGCATTCATAATTTCACAGCTTCTGTGTTCTGATAGACCAATTTTTTCAAGAAATAAAGTTAGTAATTACCGCAAAACCAAAGGAAAAACAGACTCATGTGTCTCATAATACTATGATTTCCAAAAGATCAAAGACCAGAAACAATTTGGTGCCACCTTCACAAGCCTAAGGGAATCGTGTACCACTCTACCTGCTGCTACTGGAACACCTGCTAAATCTGGTACTCTGGGTTTAATCTACTGATCAAACTACATAAATTATATAGCAAAACTTAGAACAGCTCAAAATCTTTAGATAAATATAATAACAAACTTCTAAAATTCTAAAACCAGTTATTTACCTAGAAAACATTTAATAAGATGTGCATAACAATAGGGATTGGAAAATTAGGAAAACCATTTGCTGACAATACTTTAAGGGAATAAAAATTACTTGAAATCTTAAAAGTTTTAATATATGAGCTATATGCTAAATATTTTGTTAGATTTAATATTTCATTTACATTTTCAAAACAGTTGTGATTAACCTAATTATATCAAACTGTATAGTTCCTTTGTAATATCTTTTTTTTCTAAAGAGAGAGTTTTTATAGAATAGGAATAGGAATTAAAGTTTTTAAAGGTATTGAAGTGCTTTTGTAATAAAAAGCACTGACTTTATTTTTTAATTTGATAAGAAACCAGTAACTCTAAAAACTTTACATACCCGGAAAAGGAAAAATAAGTCCAAATAAAGATGTAAATTTTACATGAAAGAAAATATACCTGTGCTAATACCACTCCAAAATTATAATGGAATTAATAAGTAGTTGAATTCAGAAGTATTCATTTTATACATGATTTTGTATTCTGTTTGCTTTATGTATAGTTAATTTTATTCTAAAATTTCAACCTTAGATGAACTTAAATACAAAGAAGTCAAACAAATTACCTTTCATAGATGGTTTTTAATGTCATTTGATCTGGAACACCCTCGGTCTCTTCCAAATACAATATTAGCCATGAAGTCCGATATGGCCACTGCTCAGTAAGGTTGATCCAGCTAGCAAGCCTGTCCCAATTGAAACTAATCTGATTGGCTCTCAGTAATCGCCCTTTGAAGAACACAGAAACATTTAAATATTAATATATGTGTAATATTATGTCAAATAAAACACTTAGTTATTCACAAATAACTTAAAGTTTTAAAATTTGCCATATGGTTATATTACAAATTCATAACTAGTATTTATACACTAAAATTCAGATTTTAAAGATAAAGACTTAAGCATTATTTTATTTAATTCAAAATTATTTTTTGTTTAGTTTGATATTAGTGAAATACACTTCTTTGACCACATACATGCTGGCAAAAATCTTTCAAGCTGTGTATCACATAATCTCAATGCTTCCTACAAACATACAGTGGAGCATCAATTCACCCACAGCAATCCCATCCTTTAAAGTACCATCAGCTAAGATCCTACGGATCCAAAAACGCTAGCCCACTGTTTTACCATGGCTGAATGTGCAACCCCGTACACTTTCATTTTTATGTACTAAGGGCAGCCTATGTAAATGACCTAACAACTGAGCTATGTGTCCAAGATTTGCTGTCTACGTATCTAATAGAACAAGCCTGCCTGCTGCTGGAGTTTTCCGAGGACTCTTGTTCCACCACGGGTGGCTGCGATCCTTAGACTTTCACACCAGTGCTTCATCTCATTGCACTGTGAGCTTCACTGTCATTTGGTAAGGATCCTGAATAGCTGGTATTTTTGCTTTTTTCTTTTAAGATACTGTTAGTTTTATTTTCATTATCATCAATTTAGTTTGTCTGGACTAAGATAGCTATTTGCTTCAGTTCAAATATGAAGCATCCCTCTTCTTGCTGCTAATAGATATAGATATATAAACCCCAACCCAATTCTTCCCATATCTCCAGTCCCTCATTCCTTCAGCAAATTTGCTTCTACATGCAAACTACATTTTCATTCCTGAACTCTTTTTCCCTGGAAGGTGAGGTTTGGTCTGCCAGAACAGCAACAGGGTCATTACGTTCTATAGCTTATGAGCTATGGTCATAAGCATTTGAGAGCTATGAAAACTTAAGAATTTCATAATCGGTGATAAACTAATGCTGGGGATAAAATGCTTAACAAAATAGATTTGCTCCCAAACTACATGAAGCCTATTCTCAGTGGAACAGACAATAAATCAAAAAAAAAAAAAAAAGTATGAAATGAATTAATCAAAAATCATAACAAAAGATGTGGAGATCTACTCTCAATAGAAAAGTACTCATAGAACTAAATGTTTACAAAAAAAAAACAGGCAATGAAAAGCAGAAAGTTAAAATATACCTGCAACACTGTTAATATACTTAGACTAAAACTTCTGAACTGAAAAATCTTTGAAAAACATTATAAGTTAATTGCACTGGTAAGTTACAGAAATGTAGGATGAAACTTCATCCCCTAATGGCTGGATTTGATCCTCAAAATAACCAGTTGCTTCATTTGAGTTTTAAAATTCACTCATTGAGCATGTTAGTGACTGATGACAGAGACATCATTACGTCTACATTCTAAAAGAACTCAAGACTAGATTGAGTAAGAGAAGGAGAGAAAATCAGTTATAAAACCATGGGACGCACACACACTGGAAGACCCAATCAGCACAATCCAGAAGCAGCAGCTGGGGGAAGGCCGCCCCAGGGGAACCTCCCGAAGGAAGCTCTCTGAGAGAGGAGCAGTGAGCCCACTGAGGAAGGGTGGAGGAGAAGCCCAGGGACCCGCCTGGGCTGAGCTGTGAAGGAACTAACTGATCACACACACAACTGGAAAAGTGTAAGTGGAAAAAACAAGCCTTCTTCCTTAAGAATATGCCTACCCTGAATTAGTTAAGAAATAAGATTACAGCAAGAGAAAATTCTGTTCAGTGAAGGTTTTTAAGATTATTTTTAATTTAATTCTCCAACTTTATCCATAAAATAAAGCACGTTGCACAAAATAAAACATGCTTTTTAAACAGGAAAACACTCAAGTAAATACTTACCAAAACTTATCTACTGAAACCCCAAATTCTTTTCTGATATGAGCCTGTCTGTCACAGGTCTTTTCTAAGAGTGACAACCATTTGCACAGTGCTGACAGACAGCATGTGTTTTTACATAAATGGGAATGGCATCTTCAAGAGGCTAAGGAACAAATCCCAGGCTCAAACCCAAGACCTGTACCTTGTCCTGCCCTTCCCAATAAAATATATTTCCTTATACACTTCCAATTAATTTTCCCCAATTACATGTAAAATTCATCATGGAAACAATAAAAAATTCCATTAAAATACAAAGATTTCAGTCTGTAAGTTCAAGAGTTACTATAATAATTTTAATTTTAAGCAATTAAACAAATGGCATTCGATGCTTTTATGAAATGGAAATTTTACCAAGAAATCTTTAATTTTCAGGCAGGGTTAGAGCTGATGAAACATAGAATAAAAATATTTCTGGTGTGATAGTATAAAAAGTTTCCCATTAAAGACTAATATTAGATGGGGCTGGGGTTGTGGCTCAGCGGTGGAGTGCTCGCCTAGCACATGCGAGGCCCTGGGTTCGATCCTCAGCACCACATAAAAAATAAATAAGTAAATAAAGGTATTGTGTCAGCCACAACTAAAAAATATTTTTTAAAAAAGACTAATATTAGAGAAGTTCTTAGATTTAAGATGTGGTTTTGTTTCTACTCTGAAATATATAAACATCAGTATTTTTAAAATGCAAATCTCTGTATCAATTAATTGTTAAATGATATTGATAATTTCAGCCTCTTTAGAGTGTCCCCAAATGTCTAACATATAAACATAATCCGAAGTTCTTCCTACAGATTTTAGGCCACTGGTTGTCTCTCTCACACCACTTCTACCCCTTTCCTCTTTTACTCTCCAAACTCCAACCACTGTGACCTCCAGCTATTCCTGGAGCCCTACCTCAGGGCCTTTATACTTGTTCCTCCTTCTGCTTAGGAAGCTTTTCTTAAGAAATATGTAAAAACTTAGTTCTCACTTCATTCAGGTCTCTTTCATTCATTCACAACAGTGTGTCCCAGATATTGTGGGTATTAAGGAAACAGCAATAAACAAGAGAAGCAAAAATCCTTGCCATGTGTTTTACATTCTTCTGAGGAGAGATGGGCCAAAAAAAGGTAAATGATAGAATGTACTGAAAGACAGAGTGAAATCAAGCAGGAAAGGGACAAAGCAAGGCAGGTCGATGAGGGGAGGTCATTCTGTGTAAGACAGTGCAGGAAGAGCTCACTGAAAAGCAGACAATTAAACCAAAATTTTAAAAGAAGGAAGAAAACCCAGTATGCATAGATCTAAAGAATAATCAATACAATTTCCATTTCTTCAAAACAAAAGTGGGAAGCCCTTAAGTGGGAACATTCCTGGCATTTTCCAGAACAACAAAGGAAGCCAGCAAGAGATAAAGGGAGGGAGAGGAGGAGAAGAGGTTGGAGGGGAGAGAGAAAGACAGATCCTAAAGGGCCTTCTAAGAAACTGTAAGGACTCGGAAGTTCACTTTTAGGAAAATGGGGACACATAACAGAGTTTTAAGCAGAGAAATAACATGACAGTTTCAATTTATAAGAATTACTGTGACTGCCACATCTCTAGACAGTAGAAAGAAAAAGATAAGAGCAGGGACCAGTTAGAAGACTGGTGCAACCATTAAATCAACGGCGGTGAAACACAACAGTACATCAGGTAAGGGCAGACTGCGACAATGAAACGCGGTCAGACTCTGAATCAGACCAACAGTAAAAAACTAACCAACAGAGGACTGGGACGTAGCTCAGAGGGGGAGTGCTTACCTAGGCCCTGGTTCAAGCCCCAGTACCCCAGGGGGAAATTTTTTAATAAACTGGAGGTAGACAATAAGGTTTTATTTTTCCCTCAAGGGTGTAGGGAAAAAGTTGGATTAATACAAATAAATAAATAAACAGATGCTGAAAAAGCATTTGATAAAATACATCACTTCTTCATGTTCAAAACACTAGAAAAACAAGGAATAGTAGGATCATTAAAAAAAAAAAGTTGGATTAACAAATGGGAAAGACTGGATTAATTTGGGGGCAAAGAATGAAAAGCTCAATTTTGGACATATGAAGTGTCAGACATCAAATGGGCAACTGGAGAGCTACAGGGTGAAAGATACAGATTTAAGAGTCTAAGGCATACAGTCTAAGGTATTCAAGATGAGACAGGATCACTAAAGGAGCTGTTCTAGGCAGAAGAGAAAGCTCCGAGAGCTAACTAAGGCCAAGGGTGTCCAATGTAAAGGTAAGGAGAGAGGGAGATAACTACAGTGTGCAAGAGGGAAATATGGTACATGCAGCTCTCTGGAAGCCAGAAGGCGGCAAATAACGAGGACTGAGACCTGGCCCCTGGACTTGTCATATGGAAGCCACCTTGAAAATGCAATTGTGCTCAAGTTCTAAAAGCAAAGAGTATTGGAGCATGCTTAGAGGATGAATAGTATGAGACCAGGGACAGTCAACTCTTTCAAAGAATTCTGCTGAGAAATGGGACAAGAACTAGAGGCAAGGGAAGGGAGGGAGAACTCTTCTTGGAAAGGGAGAACAATCTGTGGATTCCACGTGTGTGGGGGTGCGATCGCCATTTCACCACCATGTGTTCATGGCACTATCCTTATGAGACATGACATGAAGCCTCCAGTCTTTCCACTCAGGGCAGGGACTCTGTCATGATCACTGCATTATCCCTGCAACATCTAGACCAATACTGGCCTAAGGCAGATCACTACATATTTGTTAAATGAGTACAAAAATGCTTTTGGTAACATAATGAACAGTCCCATTGTTAAACATGGCCTAGTGAGGTTGAGACCTCATTTAAAAAGATTTAATGATCAAAAATATTATAATATATCAGATACAACCTCACTTGTCTTTTTATTTCTGCTGTGCTGGGGATTGAACGCAGGGCTGTGGGTATGCTAGCAAGTGCTCTACTGCTTAGCTACACTTCCAACCCTCAAAGCTTCACTTGTAACACAGTTCACATTATGAACCTCAACCTTAGTATAAAATATAATGCAGTTTAACTATCAGAGTCAATACTACCAGTTAATACCATGCAAAGTAAGAGATACACTTTACAAACTGAATTACAAATATTTATATGACTGACCAAATACTGATTAGTAATTAAGTCTTAACAAAATGGAGAGCAGAATTCTATGCAAAGAATTTAGTCATAGGGCAATAATCCTCAATTTTGTTGTCAATACCTTTTATTCAAATATTATATGAAAATGAAAATAGCATAACAGTATATAAAATCTAAATTTCAACATTTTAAATTATAAGTATAATCAATTACATAAATCAGCATAAAATTATCTTTATACACAGGGAAAAATTAAACCAGAGACAAAATAAACAATTTTTAAAACCATCTAAGATTTCATCTCACCCCAGTCAGAATGGCAATTATCAAGAATACAAACAACAATAAATGTTGGTGATCATGTGGGGGAAAAGGTATATTCATACATTGCTGGTGTGAATGCAAATTGATGCAATCATTATGGAAAGCAGTATGGAGATTCCTCAGAAAGCTTGGAATGAACCACCATTTGACCCAGCTATCCTATGCTTCATTTCTACCCAAAGGACTTAAAATCAGCATACTTCAGTAGCCACATCAATGTTTATAGCAGCTCAACTCACAATGGCTAAACTATGGAACCAACCTAAATGCCCTTCAACAAATGAATGGATAATGAAAATGTGGTGTATATATGTGATGGAATATTAATCAGCCTTAAAAAAGAATGAATCTTGTCATTTGCCTGTAAATGGATGGAGCTAGAGAATATCATGCTAAGCAAAATAAGCCAATCTCAAAAAACCAAAGGCCAGTGTTTTCTCAGATAGGTGGATGCTAATTCACAATGAGTAGGGTGGGGGGCAGAACAGAATTACTTTAGGTACAGGGGAGTGAAGGTAGGAGAGGAGATATGGGGGTAGGAAGAATAGTAGAATGATCAGTCATTATTACCCTATGTACACATATAAGACCGGTGGGATTCCACATCATGTACAAACAGAAGAATGAGAAGTTATACTCCATCTACATATGATATATCAAAGTGCATTCTACTGTCATGTATAACTAAAATTAGAACAAATTTTTTTACAAAAGAAAAATAATAACAGTGTAAACCTAATGGCCGATTTTCATCTCAACTAACACTGACTTATCAGATCCATTTGATACAAAGCTGTTATTCAGCAATGTAAAAATATAAATCTAACACATGCCTTTGCTTCTCAAATGAAACCACTTTGTTTATTTTAAAGCTTACTATCTGTCAGAGACAGTAAGAAACAAAATTCACCTGTCACAGATACGATATTAAGTAATCTTCTCATGGTCTGGGGACTGATATCACTGAACCAGTCTTCAGTAACCAGCAATTTTGTGAGATCAAAGGACATCTGCCGAGTGATGGTCCTCTGCATCTGCCGTCTTCGGTAAGTGTCCTGAAACAGAATATCATCAGTGAGACTGTGCCCACACTTCCAGTCTGAGAATACAGGGCTTTTTAAGAAGTTAATATATGTTTACAGCAACAGCAAAATGCACTACTTTAGTCAAAGAGGAGGATGATATGCTAATTAAGCATTATTATTACCACCCCCTGAGGAGAAACGGCACGGATAGGAGTCGCATTACTGACAACTGCATCCTATGCTACGGTTTAGCTTCACATGTACTGTGGTTTACAGTTGTACAGTCAGAGAAAGCTCAATGCCTTTAAGATAATTAGCAAACAGAATCCAGTAAAGAGAATTATATTCAAACTCTGTGGAGGCTCAGTATTACAGGAAGCCTAGAAAAATAAAGGAATTATGCCCGTTTCCTCACAGAGCTCCATAAGAATGAAAGGCACTCTGGGGGGGCGGGGCGGGCACTAAGGAATTCCATCTCACACAGCATGGTCCCTCACCTAAGTCCTGGTGTAAGAGAACAGTGGATGCAACCACAAGGTGACCAAGATTCCAACTCCCAGGGGAGACATTCAAAAGATTATCGCAGACCCCTCTGAATTTAGTGCTATCAAATGTCATTTGTCATATTAACTCCCATCCACAACCAGGAAGGGTAGAGACATAAAATCAAATGGTCAAAATATTACCGGACACATTAAAAAAAAAAAATTCAATTATCTAAATTTAATAGTACCAAACCAGAAAAAAGACAAGGTGCTAGATCAAGTTAGCTGGCCCTAAGTGGCACAATTCCTGCAGGTAGACATCTTCCTGCCTTATCATATGTAGACAGACATGGAACACACTCCTGTTCCACATAAACAAGATGGAGGCAGACAGGGACAACCAAAGTGTCAGAAGAGAAACACAAGGTAGAAGGAAAGGGCACAGAATCACTATGGGTACCACAAAGGAGCAAGTACTTCCTGCAAATCTCAGGAAAGAGGAAGGAAGGTTAGAAGACAAAGCCAGGAGCTTTGTCTCACTACAAACCTTTCTCCCCTACAGTTACAGTGGCAATAGGAACATCTCAACCAGGGGAAGTCATTAGGTGTACTTTAAAATCTCACTCTGAGCTTTCTATTCAACTGGCTTAGGATCTGGGTCAGCACTTGGGCTAAGACTGTGCTGGGAGAGAAGAAGGGCTCCTCCCATTTAGGGCTGCCAGGGATGCAGATGCAGACACTCCCCAAGACACTGCAAGGGAAAGAAAACCAGCAATCACATCTAGTGTTTGGCTGAAGAGTTTTAGGTAATACCACAGACGGTTGAGGTGGCATCTTTAATCTCATCTGAACAACAGCAATACACACAGCGCTGATAACAAACTGGACTGGGGGTGCACTCAGTGTTGAAGTGCTTGCCTGGCATGTGCAAAGACCTGCTTCCATCCTGAGTGCTGTGAGACTATTTAATTAATTAAGTAAATCTAGTAAAGCAAATGGCATCTTACCCGTCTATTGAGAGCTGTCCTGCTACCAAGTTTTGTCATCTCCCCAAGGCTGTTTTGTGAAACTCTCCTGTCAGCATCTTCCTGAATCCCTGAAAGAATGTACCAAGAGAGTACCATTTGCTCTCTATGTATTACAAAGGTATAAAATACTAATAATATTTTTCAAGGTAAAAAAAAAAAAAACGAACTACAAAACTCTTTTAAACACTTTAGGAGCTTGATCTTTACCTGTAGTATCTGAGCATGAAATGTCACCATTTGCTGTTGAAGTTACAAGAAATTTCCTTGCATTGCTGAGTCCACGACTATTAAGGAAAACAGGTAAGTGAACTATGTTGCGCATATAGTCGTGCCCGTTTATATTTGAGTCGCGAAGCACACTACTGAGGTTCTGGTTGATAGCCTTTATGATAATATGTGGGTCACTTGCAAAAATGGCAATAAAAGGGCCTTTTGAAAACAGAACTCGGACCTGAAGCAAAAGAAACGTACAATGTGTCAGAGAGTTTAAGTTACCCCAAGTAATAAAATAGCTTCTCGATATCAGTGCTTTCCTCTGATAACTATAAAACAGAATTCATTTTTTTGTCACAATGTATTCAACATGAAAACAAATTTTACTGATGGCTTGATCTGGGTTTGTCACATCTAACAGCAACAAAACCTGAAAAGAAAGCAACACAGTTCTCCATTGAAGCACTGCAGTCTACACAGGAGGTAAGATCAACACAGGTGAGAAATAACCGTCAACATGTGAGGTGCAGGCACACCAGCCCTTGCTCATACACTGCTGCTCTTTATAAGACACCTTCCAGGGCTGGGGCTGGGGCTCAGTGGCAGAGCATTCGCCTAGCATGCGTGAGGCACTGGGTTCAATCCTCAGCACCACATAAAAATTTAAAAAATAAATAAATAAAGATACTGTATCCACCTATACCTAAGAAATAAAAATATTTTAAAAAGATACCTTACAGAAAATCAGCAAAGTGCCTCTCTTTAACAACAACAAAAAAAACCCTGCACATTCTGTAGATTCCTTACATTATATCAGAATCTATTCATAACTATTTGCAAAGCAAAGGTTGGTTCACACTCTAGACTTAAGAGATACATTTGTGGTTTTCCTCAAACTGCCTTTATGTAAAAATTATGTAAATGACTTCACAATGAAACATTTACTCTTGCTATGTCTCTGCATAAAGAATGGTTGTTTCCAGGGGCTGAGGCTGTGGCTCAGCGGAAGAGCGTTCACCTAGCATGTGCAAGGCCCTGGGTTCAATCCTCAGCACCACATAAAAATACAAACAAATAAAAATAAAGGTATTGTGTCCAACTACAACTAAAAAAATATTTTTTAAAAAAGGAATGGTTGTTTTCAGAGGAAAAATCAGGAAAGAAAAACGGTACTACTCCCATAACAAGCACATTTTCATGAAGTCATGTTATCCCCCCACTGCCAGGCTATAGACGACAATGACAAGCTTCAAGGCACTTGAAACATACTGTGTCCAGCATCTGAAGCACTTTGTCCTGCTCACAGGCATCGAGTCCATCAATGATAACCACCAGCCTTGTCTGATTCTGGGTGAAGCTGTCGATGGTCTTAGCCATCTTGGCCATCAATTCCACTTCACACTTCAGAACCTGCACAAAGCAAAATTGACAGAAAGCACTGAAGATATGAGAAGGTAAAGTACATTCCTTGAAAAGCATGACAGAATGTCATCCAGTAGGAGGAAAGAGAGGCACAGTCCTTGCTGCCACCTGTAGTCCCACTAGAAACTGTACCCAATACTTCACAGTGCACCCAGCGAATACACATAACTTAGAGCACTTCACCTTCAAAATGACCCTAGGATGTTGATGCTGCTGTAGCCACTTAAAAAGGACGACCGTGGGGAGCTGTGGCTGTGGCCCAGTAGTATTGCAGAGCACTGTCTCCGTCTCCAGTACCACAGAAACAAGCTAGTGAACAAATGGAAAAGGACCCCCTAGGTGAGCAACTGGCTTGCCAAAGCCACAGCTCTGATGCCAAAGACTTGGATTTGAATGCAAATCCAAATATCTACTGATTGATTACCAATTTCCACACTATCATTGGCATCTGAATGACATGGTTGACTCTGGCCAAAGGAAGTAGCTGTAGAATTCTAGAAAGTCCCTTTCAGCAGGAAAAGTATGGTCCTATTTTATGTTTCCGTGGTTCAATTTGCTATTTTTTAAAACAAATCTGATTACTAGGCTCTAGTAGTAACTACACCTATGGAATAATCTACTAACTCCTTTGAATAGCCTATAAAAGTCTACTTTATAAAAACATGCCATTGTGATAATCTTTTTCGCTCTAAATATATATTTCCACAGGAAAATATAATAAAACTACAAATGTAGTAATGTCTGGTTTATGGTTCAGCATAAAAGCACTTTGGAAGTCATTACTCCTAGTGTGTGTGTGTGTGTAGTTGTGCATATGTGTGTAGCTGGATATTGTATGCGTGTATAGTTGTGCACATATTTCTATGTACGCATGTGTAGTTATGTGTATGCATGTGAAAGACAGCAATGATACAGAAGATGGAAGGGACTTCAAAGACTTCAAAGCAAGGAATGTTTTGGGTAGGTTTTGGTTATGTCTTATCCTGAAGACCACAACAGACACTTTATTAAATATTTACAGATGGCAAAATAAGCACATGAAAAGAAGCTACACAACATATGTCATTAGGGAAATGCAAATTCAAATAATGATATGCCACTACACACCTACCAGAAGGGTCAAAATCCACAAGACTGGTTACACCAGATGATGACAAGGATGTGGAACAATGGGAAGTTCATTCATTGCTAATGGGAATGCAAAATGGCATAACCACTTTGGAAGACAATTTGGTGGTGTTTAACAAAATTAAACGCACTCTTGCCATCCAGTGATCATGTTCCTTGGTATTTACCCAAAGAAGCTGAGACATTTCTACCCAAATATGTGCACACAGATATTTATAGCAGCTTTACTCTTAACTGCTAAAATCTGAAGCAAAAAAGATGTCTTTCAATAGGTGAATGAATAAATCAACTGTGGTACATCTGGGCAATGGAATATTATTCAGTGCTAAAAGACGACATGCTTCCAAGCCACAAAAAGATATGGAGGGCACATAAATACATATTACTAAGTGACAAAAGCCAATCTGAAGAGGCTCTGTACTGTATGATACCATTGATATGACATTCTGGAAAAGGCACAACCAAGAGACAGTATAAAGATCAGTGGTTGCCAGTGTTAGGTGGACAGAGAGATACAGGTGGATTGCAAAGGCTTTTATTGACAGTGGAAATACTCTGTATGATACTATACATCATTATATATTTGTCCAAATCCATAGAATGTACAACACCAAGAGCAAACCCTAATGTAAACTACAAACAGGGTGATTATGATGGGTCTATGTAGATTCATCAGTTTTAACAAATGTATCACCGGATGGGGATGACAGTGATAGAAGAGATGGTGCATATGCAGGGGGTGAGGGGCAAATGGAGTATCTGTATTTTCTTCTTCATTTACCTGTAAACCTTAAAACTGCTTTAAGAAAATAGTTTTGAATAAATAAACACACTAAATGCAACACCTTAACATTTGAAGATCATATTCCCTAAAGCCCAAATGATCATGGTAGGAGTAGCATATTCATGTTACAATTTTTTCTAATATTAAATGAGTGCTTACTTTCATGAATCCTTCACTTTTCAATTTGTGCATTTTGGAGGCAGCATTATGAAGGCGTTTTCTTTGAGAATTCAGCAGAGAGTCCAATACTTGCCACCATGTACGGCAGTTAAGCACAAAAGCCAGCCCCACTATAGATGCAATTGATATGAGGACAGCATTCACTGTCATGTGTTTTGGGTCAACTCTGAATATGGCCAGCAGAGTGATCCCAGCAATAATGCAGCCAAAGATAAAAAGGAAGATGACAAAAGATGGGAGACAACATGTTTTTTTCCATTTCTTTTTACCTGTAATACAACAAATGATTTTAACAATTATTAACATATCAAGTATCTAGAAAAACCCTAATCATTACAGTCACAGCATGGATGATTCTGATGTTCAATTCATGTTTTCATGAAAATAAACTGAACATTCATCCATCTTAATGCTCTAGACATGAACACAGAAAAAGGAATGGAATCCTACCCTGAGCATCTTCAGTCTTGAATACTCGAAAAAGCCTGGTTGCCAAAAAGCCAAACTCTCTTTCACAAGCATCTGAGAGGGTTGCAATCATCTCAGCCAAAGAAGTTTCTCCACCTACACTGGATAGCCTATTGTAATCTGTAAACAAAAACCTGGGGAAAAGATCAAACAAAACATGACTCAGCTGTCTAAAGCAACAATGAACTTTTTAAAAAATATATTTATTTTTTTAGGTGTAGATGGACACAACACAATGCCTTTATTTTTATGTGGTGAAGAAGATCAAGCCTGAGACCCGCCCGCGCTAGGCGAGCGCTCTACCGCTGAGCCACAATCCCAGCCCCCAACAATGAACTTTAACACACGTCAAGCTCTACATCCTTTACTTTTTTTTTTTCAATGTTCCTTTCAAAATATTGCTTTTAAAATTCTGAAGAGGGAATAACCTGTAAGTAGGTATCTTCTGCTTTCAACATTTTACATACTTCTCTATGGAGGGGCGAAATAAATGCTAAATGTAGGAGAGTTACATAAAGTAACTCAAGGGCAGAGGGGAAACAGCAATGACGGAGCTTGGACAAAGAATATCAGACACCTGAGTAGAGCTCACTGTTCTCCATGTGAGAATACAGCCAAAAGAGCTGCACAAAGCAAGCTTTCTAATACCAACTGAAGAGATTGGAACAAAAAAAAAATATTCCTTAGAGTCATTAAGTATTTTGAACCCATTTGAAAACTCAAGGTTTTCAAGCATCTCATTTTATTTATAGCTTTGACATCTAACAAGGATTTAGAAATAGTTATAAAACATTGTTTTCATAATTGCTCTTCAAAATAACTGAATTATTTGCATCTTGAGTTTCTGAATAATTATTTCTATATTAGTTCCTTGCTCTCCTTCCATCTCTAAATTAAACTCTCATCTCAATCCAGTAAATAAGCATTGCTTTCAAAATATAATTTAGGATCACATTATACTATACTGTATGGTCTTGACTGATACTATTTTAATTGTTCAAAGTTTAAAAAATATTCTCATTAAAGTGTTTTTCTTGTTTTCTATAAAAATAATTACCCATGTATTTTATTCTATTGTTGGGTCTTCCTTTGATCTTTTTTCTTTTTAAACTTCTCATTTCTATTTTTTTTTTTTTTAAGAGAGAGAGAGAGAGAATTTTATTTTATTTTTTTAGTTTTCGGCGGACATAACATCTTTGTTTTTGTATGTGGTGCTGAGGATTGAACCCGGGCAGCACGCATGCCAGGCGAGCACGCTACAGATTGAGCCACATCACCAGCCCCTTAAACTTCTCATTTCTAAACTTTTTTCTTAATACTTGATCCAACCTGCTAGCTACAGTAGTCCTTCAGTACTTGTGGGGACTGTTCCAGAACTAGCTCAGATCCCTTATATAAAATGGCATAGCACTATTTTCATAAAACCTATACACATCCTTCCACATACTTTATTTTTTTTTTAAAGAGAGAGACAGAGACAGAGAGAGAAAGACAGAGAGAGAGAGAGAGAGAGAGAGTTTTAATATTTATTTTTTAGTTATCGGCGGACATTACATCTTTGTTTGTATGTGGTGCTGAGGATCGAACCCGGGCCACATGCACGCCAGGCGAGCGTGCTACTGCTTGAGCCACATCCCCGGCCCCCCTTCCACATACTTTAAATCATCTCTAAATTATGTGAAATACTCAATATAATGCAAATGATTATTATACCGTTTAGGGAATAATGACAAGAAAAAAGTCTGTACATTTTCAGTATAGGTGTATTTTTAAACCATGGTTGATTGAATTTACCCAAGGACACAGAGATCTCATTGCTCTTGTAAGCTTTTACTTTTATTTTTCGCCCTCATATTCACAGTATGGATATTTCATTTGATTTGGTCTTTTTATTTTCATCTTCAAATTACACATATTTTATCTTTAAAAATCCTTAATCCCTAGCTGGGCTTGGTGGTGCACACCTGTAATCCCAGAAACTCAGGAGGCTGAGACAGGAGAATAGTGAGTTCAAAGCCAACCTCAGCAAAAGCAAGGTGCTAGACAACTCTGTGAGTCCCTGTCTTTAAATAAAATACAAAATAGGGCTGAGGATGTGGCTCAGTGGTTGAGCGCTCCTGAGCTCAATCCCTGGTACACCCCCCAAAATAAAAAAATTCTTAATCCTTAAATACACTTTTAATTCTTTCCTTAATTTTTTAAATTTGCTTAATTAGTTATACATGACAAGAGAATGCATTTTGACACATCATGCATAAATGGAGTATAACTTATTCTGTTGTACATGGTGTAGAATTAGAACAGTCATGTAATCATATACGCAAATAGGGTAATAATGTCCCATTCATTCTACTATCCTTCCTATGCCCATACCTCCTCCCCTTCCTTTCTTTCCCTAATTCTTATTGAATTTCTTTTAATTTTATAACCTTTTTTCTCCCTTCTTTGTCATTTTATTTTCATCAGGAGCCCTATATCTTTCCCCTATTCCTTGGCTTAAATGTTTTTCAATTTTCTCATAAATTTCCTATTTGATATAATAATTTTAGACAGATGAGGAAAGAGCCTCTCAGAGAAGCAAGCTGGGTTTCCTGAGGTTACACATTCATTGAAGGAGGTATTGGGTCTCCAGACTGGAGCTCTTGATGCCAGGACTCCATCCTCAATCTAATGCTCTCTTCAGAGTGCACCAAAGGATGATAACAGGTGACAAGGGAGGAAAAGGTTTATGCACAAATAATATGTGGCCAAAGTTAAACAGGCTTCTTTATGGAAAAATGATTTAATATGGGGTTGTAGCTCAGTGGTAGAGCACCTGCCTAGCACATGTGAGGCACTGGGTTTGATCCTCAGCACCAAATAAAGAAAATAAAGATACTGTTTCCATTTACAACAACAACAAATATATATATATATATATATATATATATATATATATAAACATATACACACACACACACACACACACACACATATACAGAGAGAAAGAGAGAGAGACTGTAAAGTAAATTTCCTAAATGCATTTGACAAGGAAATGTTTATGCTTTCACTTTGTTCATATAAAAGGTTCAAAGTACTGAGCATTATAAACTTTATTAAGGGCTGGGGATGTGGCTCAAGCGGTAGCGCGCTCGCCTGGCATGCATTTGGCCCGGGTTCGATCCTCAGCACCACATACAAACAAAGATGTTATGTCTGCCGAAAATTACATAAATATTAACATTCTCTCTCTCTCTCTCTCTCTAAAAAAAATAAAAATAAAAAATAAACTTTATTATGTAAATTTTTTTTAATTTTTTAAATTTTTTTCGCCTTATCTAATAAAAGTTACTCTGACAAAGGGACTGACCTACCTCACAGGTAAAGCTTTCGTAGTTTGCTCTGGCAGTTCAGGTGGGTTCACAAACATCAGTTTGAAGAGGAGTTCCAAATACCCAATGTGTCTTGCCAATCTGGTACTGAGGACCCAGGCCCAATTCCACCTCTCTCCTTCCCTTCGTCCACCAAAATAAATGACAACTGAAATGCACAGTTTTTAAAAAGTATTGAAAACAATCATTAGTGAGATGGTTTCTTTTCACCAAATAGTCAATTATGAAGTAACAACAGCTAAGCTTACTTAACATTTTATGGCACGACAGTATTTCCTAACTACTCCTCAAAGAATTCCTCAATTAACACCAACCCCCCAACAAACAGAAGATGTGTGAAAAACCGAAAGGAAACTGACTGAAATATGACCTAAGAATTACAATCAGAAAGATAATGTCTTAAACAGAGATATGCTCACAGTTCAGATTCAAATGTAAACAACTTTGAGTTTATCATAGTTTCCAAGTGTTGAAGCTGCCAGTTCCTCCAAAGGTGAATCTATTTCCTTTCTTGCAATGGAAGGCACCCCAAGACCAGAGATTTTGTTTTTCAGTGCTGGAAATCAAACTCTTGCCTTATACACACCAGGCAAGTACTCTACCATTGAGCTATATCCCCAGCCCTTATATTTTTTCTTATTCTGGTTTTAGAAAATAAAAATTACAGTGATTGTCAAAATGCTTAAGAGCATGCTAGTGATGCCTACGAAGTTTTCTCTTCAGAAAAGACAAAAACGGGTCATTAATTAACATGTATGAGAGTAATTCCTGCTTCAATATTAACAAGCACACTAGTTTTTAAAGGTACTCTAGCCATGCTGTGAACAATGTTCCTCTAGGCCAACTTAAAAAATAGTAAAAAAGATCAATTTTTTCATCCAATTATGAAATTCACATATAGGTTTTAAGAGACAGATACAGATAATGTTTTACATTAAAACAATTAGTTTTGATACTTTTTCCATTTTTGAAAAAGTAAAGACTTACTGAAGAAAATATATAAGAGAGCCAGGAAGCTCAATGACACTGCTATTCCAAGATTTGGGTCAACCGTAAAAGCAAACAGTAAGCCAACACTTCCACACAGTAGCACTGTAATAAATACTATAAGCCATGAAAACTGAAAAAGGGGTTCAATCTGTTGTCCTGCAAATGTCTTCATTTCATCTGAAAGAGAAATTAATATAATAACTTTATTCCTGTTTCAAGAAATACAAATTTTAGCTTGATTTTCAATTTTCACATTTCCAAGATAAACTTTTATTAGGCACTAAGTCCCTAAATAGAATGCTGTTACCCAATCATTTGAACCAATGGTCTCATTCCATAAACACAGCACCTCATTTTCCAGAGCCTCAACTACCTCTTACCCACTGTCCTGCTTCACACTGAGGATACACAAAATCCTTTTCCATCTGTCACGATTTTATTGATATTTTTGTGTTTTGTATTATATAAACAATAATGTACTGTTTCCATATGCAAAAGTAAAAATAATACTCTGTGTCTTCAAACTACATTTCACCAGCATTCTTCTCTGATCCCCTGACCCTCTCCCTCCAATCACACTCCAGAATCACAGCTCTTAAAGGTGTGTGGAGCCCAAATGCACACCATGCAAGCTGTTTTTTCTATAAAACTTGGAGCAATCTTTACAGGCAATACTAAAACCTGTCCTCAAAGAATGAGTACATTTTGCCAAGCAAAAGGTGTGTGTGTTGGGTGTGGGGGGTTAGCTGTGTAGGAAGCTCCTGAAAGAGGGACCAAGTCAGGAAAAATGTCTGGTCTGCTGACCCAAAATGTCTGGTTAACTGCAGCAGAGTGCACCAGAGGTGCAAACTGACAAGAACGTGAAGGGCCTCAGGAGCCTGCACCAAGGGTTTGACCTGATGTTAGCACACGACTGGATGTTTTTGAAAGAAAGCGCCAAGGACCATGGGGAGGACAAATGAGAGGGAAGTAAAACCCAAAAAAATTCATTTTAGCAAATCATGTAACATACACACCCATACATAGAGCTCTTTTTCTTTACTACAGAGAAAAACTTGTTAAATAAACAGATTTTGTACATGTACTTTACCTTCTAGTTTCTTAAGTAAGAAAGATTTTCCACTTCCCCACTGTGCATATAGCCCCACACAAATGGGTGGCTGCATGGTAGGTTCACTGAGAATATCTGCCAGGGCACTGCTATATAAATCATAGCCAAGCATGTCACCATCTGTTTCAGTAGGTGACAAGTGTCCTGTAATTAGAAACACACCAGACCCTTACTTAAACAGTGGTATTACCTGTTGGAAGAAACATCAATTCTAAACTTATTGTGAAATGTTTAGATCTCTGTAAAAATAGGTCCAGAGACTCCGATGTAAATACCATATTTCATGGAATTTAAGCTACCTACCAATACAAGATACATTATTTTTATGTACATCTAAGAAAAAAAGCTACCAAATTGTGACAATGCTTTTTTATCCATCACTTACAAGACACATTCCAACTTCAGAGATATTAAAATATGGAATAATGTGCATTTCGAGTCAGTAAAATGAAAATAAAAACACAAACTAGGTAAGGTGCACACCTATAATCCCAGTGATATGATACAGGAAGTAGATGCAGGAGGATTGCAACTTAGCAATTAAGCGCCTAAGTCACTTAGTGAAATCCTGTCTCAAAAAATAAAAAGGGTTGGGGATGTAGCTCAGTGGTAAAGGGCCTCTGGGTTCAATTCCCAGTACCAAAAAATAAAAAGAAAAAAGAAAAGAATCCTAGCTAGACTGGTGGCACATGCCTATAATTCCAGCAACTGAGGCAGGAGGATCAAAAGTTTGAGGCCAGCCTGGGCGACTTATTGAAACTCTGCTTCAAAACAGAATTAGAAAAAAACAATTGGACATAACTTTCTTATGTTTGTATATGAATATACAACCAGTGTAACTCCACATAGTGTTCAACCATAAGAATGGGTTCTAATTAGAATAAGTTATATTCCATATTTATATGTATCTATATGTGTGTCAAAATATACTCTACTGTCATGTGTATCTAAAAGAACAAATTTTTTAAAAAAAGATTTAGAAAAAAGTTAAGGGATATAGTAGCCCAATAGTAGAGCAGTTGCTTAGCATGTGTGAGACCCTGGATTCAATCCTTAGAACCAAAAAGAGAATACTAAAAATAAAAGTCAATGGGTACAAATCGTTCATTGTAGTACTAGTTGGTAACAGCAAAACATCCAAATGTTCATCAATATAGAACTGAGCATATTATTAGAATTCTATGATGAAAGATTATATAATAATTAAATTACGACAGTTCATTATTAAAAACTTTTCTAACATAACATGGTCTGATCTTTTTTTTTAAGCTATACACATAGTATAAAACATTTTATACGTGTTTTTTTGTTTTGTTTTGTTGTTTTTTGATGCACTGGTGATTGAACTCAGGGGCCTTCTACCTCTGAGCTATACCCACAGCTCTTTTTATATTTTTTATTCTGAGACAATGGCTCACCAAGTTGCCCAAGCTGGTCTTATACTTGTGACCCTTCATCTCGCCTCCCAAATAGCTAGGATTACAGGCATATGCCACAACACCTGGCTTTAAAAAATCTTCATAAATGTAAAGAAAAGCCTGGAGGGTCATTCAATTAATTACAAGTTGGAAGGTAGAAGACAATGAAGAATTTGCTTTTCTGCTAAATTCATGTCTTCATTTTTCAAAATTTAATGACTGTGTATTACTATTATAATTAGACTAATATTTTAAAACTCAAAAAGACATAACACATTAGAATCATAAAACAAGATATGAGTAAGAAGTCAAACAGGAAAGTGATAGAATTCTACTATCTCCTATTGGTTTCTGGAACATTTTTTTTTTAATTTTAGTAAAAAAATAATTCTGTATTTCAAAACATCATATATTAATGATTACATTCTCATGTGTATCCTTTTCAGTTAAAAGCTACTTTAGGCCAGGCATGGTGGTGCACGCCTATAATCAATCCCAATGGCTCTGGAGGCTGGGGCAGGAGGATTGCAAGTTCACAGCCAGCCTCAGCAATTTAGCGAGGACCTAAGCAACTTAGTGAGACCCTGTCTCAAAATAAAAATAAAATGGGCTGGGGTGTAGCTCAGTGGTAGAGTGGTTGGAGTCCCTGGGTTCAATGCCCAGAGGTGAAAAATAAGAAAATATAAACACAAGTACTTAAGATTCAAATGAGACAACATTTTTTTCTGGTTAGGCAGATCAGTTAAAAAGTCATGGAGAAGGAGACAGTGGATATGAAACAAACTTTGGAAAAGATGGTTTTATTAAGAACAGAATATTCACAGGGATAGAGAGCATGGCTTTTTGCAGACAAAACAAAGAGAACTGTAAATCCCCATGCTTCCTCAGATAACAGAGTACATCTGATGAGAGCACAAAGTAACCTGGGGGAACAATGGGGGAAAGACTGGGGGAGAAGCAAGCTGGGTTTTCAAAAGTCTTAAAAATTGACTGATGGGGGCTGTGGCTGTGGCTCAGCGGTAATGCACTTCCTGGCATGTGTGAGGCACTGGGTTCGATTCTCAGCACCGCATATAAATAAATGAAGATAAAGGTCCATCAACAACAACAAAAAATAAATAAAAATAAAAATAAAAAAAACCTGACTGATGACTCAGTGTATGTAACTTAGAATGCTGACTACAATGCAAGATACTTTTAGATAGGAAGGACTATTCCTCAACAAATAATAACTTTTTAAACTTCAAATTCTCCAGTTAATGACACCTCCAAAAAGTTGGCGTTTTAAAATTTTTTCTTAGTTTTTAATTGAACATTCTTTATTTAAAAGCTTTGTCAGGGGGGCTGGGGATATGGCTCAAGTAGTAGCGCAAGCGCTCGCCTGGCATGCGTGAGGCACTGGGTTCGATCCTCAGCTCCACATAAAAATAAAATAAAGATATTGTATACACCTAAAAGCTAAAAAATAAATATTTAAAAATAAATAAATAAATAAAAGCTTTGTCAGGGACAAAACCCAGTACTTACTGGCTCCAAATATCTGAGTTAAAATGCTTTTCTGATGGCTACAGTCGATGTTATAAGGAGTCTCGCCAGCTTTGTTCGGCCTATAAAGTAACCGTCCATCTTTAGGATTTCTTAAAAGAAGTTCTGCCAGTCTCCGACTCCTTCCTCGAATAGCGATATGCAAGGGAGTATCTCCTTTCTATAAAATAGCAACAGGAAAACTGACCTTTCACATTTTCATGTCTACTGCAAATAGACAACAATTTTCCTGCTTCTACAAAATACCAGAAAGTCTGAACTTTTCGTATTTTTCAGAGTATATACATAATAGGAATTTTTATCTCTAGCTTCCTCACAATTTCTTTAGATTTTCTCAAAAACTATTTCTGCCCTAGCCCTCTAGAATGAAGGCCATCTTCCTCCTCAATGCAGCTTACTGAGAAAGGACACAAGCTTTCTCCCCATATTCCTCCCAGGCCAGGATCTGCTTCCTCAGAATCCTTCTGCCATCCAAATCTTCATTGCCCAAGGACATCAGTCATCTTTCTCATCAAATTTGTAGTTCATTTCACAGCTTTCTTTCATCAGCTATGACCTTTGGTCAACCTCCCGTCCTTACGGTCAGCCCTTAAATTCCATTACTCTACATTCTCCACCTCTGAGCCCTCTGTCAATCTGTCTTTCTCTGACCACTAGAATCTCTTCCACTCTCCTCATCTTTCACTTTCCCTAACATCAACCTACCTTCTTCTCCTATTAGAATCCCATCTGTTAGTGGTTATATCCAATAATAAGAAAACTTTAATATAAAAAACAAATGACCTCTTCATTCTGCAAAATGCTCTTCTATTTATTCCTTCACAAATACCTCTTGCCAACTACTAATGACCCCAAATTTAAATTCCCAGTTCTCGTCCACTGTGATTACTCTGTGACACTAAGTGAAACTGACCTTCAACATTCTTCCTGTGGCTGCCATGGCACAATCTCATCTTGATTTTTCCTCTTCTTTCTCAGGCCTACTTCCTCTCTAGATTCCCTTCCCATGTTCTAAATGCAGCACAATAACTGATCTCACTACTGTACACAGCACTTTTTGCACTGGGTGTCTTGGAGAAAACAAGACAGTTCTAGCCTTAAACAGCTAACATTATAAAAGGAATAAATGAGTAAACTATGATAATACAATAAAATAAATAGAATAAGCACAATAGAGTAAACTATGATAACACTCAGCATTAAAAGAGGTGAATTTGGACCATAACTTTCATCATTCTTCACAATGATTATCTTTGTTACTCCCAGGCAACTCTCATGTTCTGGAAATTAACTGCCGAATTTCCATTCCCAGACTAAATTTCCCACCCAGATTCTAGTCCCTCGCTTCCCACAGCTTCCTGAATGTCTTATCAATCCTCAAATTAAACATATCTGAACCAGATTTCACCCTCTTCATTTCCCCACTCAACTCCATTTCTCATCTCAAACCTGTGAGAAGGAAAAACATTAGCAGTAGCACTTCCACCAGACACAAAATTTCTGAAAAGACAAGGAAAACATGAATACACCTAACATTCTAAGCCTGTTTAAATTGAAAGCAAACTAAAACCAGGAATGGATTCTACATAAAGTATTTAGCAATTTGGAGGGATTTCACCATGAAAACTCTATAAAAAAAATATAGTAAGGACACACAGCGGAACATTTCATCTCCTGTTAGTGAATGTTAATGCCAATAAGCTTTGAGGGTCTATTCTCTGCAGACCCTTTAGCCTCTTTCCTCTGCAACATGCTCTATCCTTAATAATGTCCTCCTTGTGTCAAGGGCAGCGCCCACACGGGTATGAGCCAAAGAAGGAAAATATGAAGCAGCTTCCCCAACAGGACGCTGAACCTACCCACTCCTCAGCACAGACACCCCAGCAGGTCATCTCTCCTACATACAAGAAAATCAGACTCCAGTGAGTCTACCAGACATAGAGGCCAGTCTACCAAGGCCTCTCCAGAAAGCACACCTCTGCACAAATGCTTTACCTTATCTACAGCAGACACCTTGGCTCCTTTATCTAGCAGCAGCTCTACTACTTCAATATTCCTCATCTTGGTGGCCTTTATCAGTGGTGTTTCACCATCCTGTGGGCACAGATAAAAAGGTTTATCACATTCACAGCTTACTCCTAAGTGTTGAACATCAAACAAACGTAGCTGTCAAGATATATCTGACAATGGTTAACAGGCTATATTTACAATGTTCTCAGAAAAATACATTTTAAAAACTAACAAGAAAAATGAATTTCCTTTCACAACCACATACTGGTACTAAATAATTGCATCACTTAGTCAAATATGGGCTGTACTCAACTTGCTCCCAAACAACACTTGCTGCAGTGGCTGCTCCAGCCAGGTCCCCAGGCTCCAAATGTGACTCTGGGCAGCCTCCAGAGAGGTTACACTCCCCCACCAACTAACACACAGTCCACCTGCCAATTCTGTGTCTAGAGTCTGTTTAGAAGAAACATGAGAACCCAAGGAATATATATAACCCAAGGAATTTGTATAACAGGAAAAAACATTTGATGCTAGCAACCTGCCTTGGGAAAACTTAGAAAGAGTTCATGGTAGCCTCCAGAATCAAATGAAGCAAAACAACAGATTACAATGCAGCACTAAATTTGGAAAGACAAGAAACTAGACAGAAGCCACAAAATTACAGTAGTTGACATGGGTTCCAGAAGAAAAAGAAAAAAGATGATCAACAGCTGAGCCTGGTGGTGCTCACGTGTAGTCCCAGCGGCTTGGCAGGCTGAGACAGGAGGATGGCAAGTTCAAAGCCAGCCACAGCAACAGTGAGGTGTTAAGCAACTCAGTGAGACCCAGTAGGGCTGAGGATATGGCTTAGTGGTGAGTGCCCTAAATTCAATCCCTGGTACCCACCCCCTCCCAAAAAAAAAGATGATCAAGGAGTCACCCACATGGGGCTGGGGTTGTGGCTCAGTGGTACATTACTTGTCTTGCATGGGTAAGGGACTGAGTTCGATCCTCAGCACCACAGAAAAATGAAGGTATTGTGTCCATCTACAACTAAAAATACATATATTTAAAAAAAAAAAAAGAGCCACACAAAGAAGCAGATATCCCAGGTAATTTTTTCCCCCAGGGAACTGAAGTGACCATCACTGATTTAGAAATATGCTGGTCCAGGTAAAGCAGATGAAATAGGATGGTCTTATGGATGAGTCCATAATTTTGCTTTATTCATTAAGAATTCCCACCATTTCAATCCAGAATTCCAAGTATATTTTTCCCATGGAAAATGATTACACATACGACTAAATATAATCACCAAAGTCGGATTTAGCTTTGTATTCTTTGTGTTTTGTGTAAAATAAGCTAAAATGGCTGATTTGAAGAGCCAACAACCACTCACAATGGTCTTTAAAAGAAAATATGTTCTGCATTCCAAACAGGAGCCTGAAAGAATTTGGGAGAAATGCCCACAATTTATGAATAGTTGATAGTACTTTCTGAAAAGTAACAAATTATACACTGTATTTTGTTATGAATGTAGAACTCTCCGAAGAATACAGTTACTCGTCAATTTAACATAGAATAAAATCAATATAACACTAAAATCAAACACAATGATTGAAAAAACAAGCAGTACTAATATTCAGCATTAGTATTGCTAACAGAACAGAAATGCTAATTTATACCTTTGTGCATATTTCAGTATCAGGATTGCACTGTAAGATGTCTCTCACCATGGTTGCATTTCCCTTTTCAACAGCCCAATATAGAGCAGTTTTATTGTCCTACATAATTAAAAAAAAAAATCAATAATCACTTTATTTAACATAAAATGTTAAAAACTGCTATCTATAAATATAAAATATCATTAACATTTCTACCAGAAACCATTGCAACAGGTGTCATGGTGGAAAATGATATTAATTCTTTTGCTATCTGGGATTTACTTTTGAGAAATTCTTCATGAAAGAAGACAAGGAAAATATTACTTGACTTAAAAGTAGCAATCCCACATAGTTAATAAATTACACTTTTGTAATGCAATCAGATTTCAGAAGCATGCAAGGGGTTAGAAATAATCAATACCTGAGCTCAGTAACCTAGAGAAGTCACCTAAATATTCTGACCCATGGATTTTCATCTGTAATATGAAATGAGTATACCTGCCCAGTTTTTCTAAGAAAATGCAAAGGACATACTTTACAAACAACAGGATTACCATCTTTAGCTTTCTTAATCTCCACATTCCTTGCATCCTATACTGTCTTGATTAGATTCCTGAACATCCTATCTAAATCAAAAACAAAAAAAATCAATCCACACAGACCTGAAAAGAAGAACTAGAAAACAAAGAAACACTGATTAAAACAGAAAATAGGATTGACAGATACAAAGTAGTTTGGCAAAACTAAAACAAATGATCTAGAAACCATCTTTTCATGAAAATATTACTTTAATCCAGAAGATAATGACTTCTTATAGCTGCTACATTACATTTACTATTCCAAAATGTCTCCAGTGGAGTTCTCATTCTAAAATGATCACTAGCTGCCCAATTTCCTTAGTGCATCACTCAAACCTCTGCGCCTACTTCCTTTCCATTTCTATCCCTATCTTCTACCCCAATACCCCAATAATACCTCAGTGTCAACTGATTTATTCACTAGCTATGGAACAACCTTTAACTTTTACATTTTCTTTTATTATTTCCCCAGCCTTTGCCTAAAATACCCAGCCTTCCTTTTTTTCTATCTATTAAAATCAAACTCATCTTCAAATTTAATACAAATTCTACCTTTTTTGAAAACCTTCTTTAATATTCTCTTTCCTTACTGAAGACTCCCATATTTGAACCTTCCATTAGATAAACAATCAATCATATATCATCCTGTCACTTCACCTTTTATGTTTATATAAAAGCATAAAAATATCTCAGTGGTATACACCTGTAATCCCAGCAGCTTGGGAGGCTGATGCAGGAGGATTGCAGGTTGAAAGCCAGCCTCAGCATTTGCAGGGAAATGGTTGGCATTAGAGCAGATTATGCTAAGTGAAGTTAGCCAGTCCCTAAAAAACAAATGCCGAATGTCTTCTCTGATATAAGGGGGGTGACTCAAAATGGGATAGGGAGGAAGAACATGAGAAGAAGACTACCACTAAATAGGGAAGAGAGGTGGGAGGGAAAAAGAGGGAGAAGGGGAGTTGCACAGAAGATGGAAGGAGACCCTCATCGTTACGCAGAATACATGTATGATGTTGTGATGAGTAAAAGAAAAAAAAAAAAGTGTGTCACATTAAACTGGATAGACAGAAATGATGGGGGGGAGGAATAGGGAGAATAGGAAAGGCAGCAGAATAGAATAAACATTATGATTGCTGTATGTATATAGGTGATTCTATGACCAGTGTGATTCTGCAATCTGTACAATCAGAAAAATGAGAAATTATACCCCAATGATTCAAATGTATGAATTGCCAAGATCATTGTTGTAATGCCATGTGTAGCTAATAAAAAAATAAATAAAGAAAAGAAAGCCAGCCTCAGCAACTTAGCAAGGCCATAAGCAACTCAGAGAGACCCTGTCTCTAAATAAAATACAAAAAAGGACTGGGGATGTGGCTCAGTGGTTGAGTGGCCCTGGGTTTAATTCCCAGTACCAAAAAAAAAAAAGCATAAAAATAAACTAAAGCAGCCCGAAAATATTTGTTTCTTAAAGGCCAAGGTCCCATGTTAATTTCTCTGTAGCATGAGGCATAACAGTTATTGATTTAAAAAAAAAAAAAAAGACTTTGGATACAAGAGATTTTTGGCTGCACAATCCCAGCAACTCAGGAGGCTGAGGGAGGAGGATCAGAAGTTTGAGACCAGTCTCAGCAACTTAGCAAGGCTCTAAGAAACTAGCAAGAAACTGTCTCAATGGGCTAGGGTCATGGCTTAGTGGTAGAGCGCTCACCTTGTATGTGCAAGACCCTGGGTTTGATCCTCAGCACCACATAAAAATAAATAAATAAAATAAAGGCATTGTGTCCAACTACAACTAAAAAATAAATATTAAAAAAAAAAAGAAAAAGAAACTGCCTCAAAATAAAAAACAAAAAGGGCTGAGGATGTAGTACAGTGATAGGATAGAGTACCTCTGGGTTCAATCCCCAGAACCAAAAAAAAAACAGGGCAGAAAGGCAGACTATCCAAAATGGGTTACCAAAACAAAATTTCATAATTCTAAAGCTCTTGAAGTAGTAGATCTATTCACAAGTTTAGGCAAGGCTTTTATACAATCTAGATTTTTTTTTTCCAGTGCTAGACATGGAACCCAGACCTTGCACATGGAAGGTAAGCACTCTACCACTGAGTGAAGCCCTGAGTCCCTGTCAAAAATTAATAACCTTTCTAGCCTTGAGTTCTGACCATCTGAAGCAAAGTTCACAGGCACTTCCAGGTGGTCCCAAAGAGGTGACCAGAATGGGAAAGAAGAGAAAACAAAACACAAATGAAAGAACAGCAGTACATGAATGAAGAAAACGAAACAAGAAAAACACTTAAAAACAACAACAAAAAAGAAATCATATACTCAAATGCCACTGTCTCGATACCTCAGAAAATTTCAGAATCAAATGTTTTTGTTAGTAAAACCAGTATATTCTAAAAACATGAGCTTTTGATCGCCTTCAATCTGAAAATAATTCAACATTAACTCAGAAATTTGTAATAATAGTATATTACCCAAGAAATGTACTACAGTTTACAAGCTTTCATCCCCATAGGAAGGCTGGAAGAATAACATTATGATCAGTCAATATATACAACCAATTATGCTCCAAGATAACAACTGCACTATAATCATACATACCTGTCCTCTAATGTCTATATCAGCATATTTTTGGAGAAGTGCACGAACAATTTCAACGTGACCACCTCTGACAGCACCAATCAGTACAGTATCCCCACTCTAAAAAGACAAAACACAAGGTTATTTGATGAGAACAAATAAGAACTGTTCTGAAGTTAAGGTTATTCATTTATTAATATGATAGATTTGTTTCAAATATTTCTTGGAAAAAGTCTCTATTTCCAAATAAGTGAAACTTCTGAATTAACTGATAATAATATCTGATATCAATAGTCTTCAGAGTAAGGGACAGAGGATGGTATGCCTCAAAACAAGGACTTGTGAAATTTCATGACAAAAATTTAGGAAGACAAAGTACCAAGACAAGAATTTATTCTCTCTGAACGTAATTCACAAACTTTAAATAAAATAATGCCTTAGCTGTCAATAAACCAAATGAACATTTGGAAATTATATGATAAAAATTCCTTAGAATAATGCCATATGAAAAAAATAGTCATAGATTCTAGAAAAAGGATTTTGTAAAGCTAATACCATCAGTGGTAAAATAGCCACATTTATTTAAGGGGTAAGTCTGGTCCTCAGACTAGCATCCATGACTATTTGGTCAACTGGACAGTAATAGGCCAGTAGAAAAGACTGCTTCATTCCCCAGCACAAGACTCAGACCAAGCTGACTACCTTATGAGCACAACTCTTTGCCTTGAAATTGTATTAACAAAACAACAGGCATTTTTAATCCTATTTTCCCATTAATTCAAATATTATTTTGGCAATGGACACAAATATCTTGTTATTTATTACTGATTTACAAATCAGTTGTAGGCTTTTAAACTGGGTGAGCTTAAAAGTTGTGACTCGATTCAATCCTGAGCAAGCCCCAATGGGCTGTGAAGTCAACACGACATCCCTGAGGACTGCTAAGTTTAACACCATGGTGTGTTATAGTAACTGGCTCATTAACAGCAGAACCAAACTAAAGACGGACAGATTTTAGTTGAGAACATTACCATTTAACACAAATGAGAAACACAAATGACTGTAACAATTTCATTGCTTACAATGTGCCACAGACCATTCTAGGCACTGGGAAATAAGACAGACAAGGTCCCAACTCTGAGCAAATTTAATCAAGCAGAGAAAGACAACACACAATAAACAAAAAATAAGATAGCTGCTATACAAAAACATTAGAGTAAGGTGACAGAAAATGACTGGATAGCTACTTTGGATTAAGTAGCTTCCTTTCTGAGGAAGCAGATTTACATTGAGGGAAAACGACAAGGAGACTTTAGATGAAGCCGGGTATGTAAGTGAGAACTCAGACAAGAAATCAGGACAAGAGGAAGAACTGTGAAAATCTTAACTGTAAAAAATGGTACTTTAAGTCCTAGGATAATGAATAACACCATATGTGAAAAATACCCACAGTGATATATCAAGAATAGTTACAAGGCTAATTGTAACATGTGACATTCTTTTTTATTTATTTCTTATTTATATATGACAGTGGAATGCATTACAGCATGTGACATTTTCAATAACAAAACTGACAAAAATAAAAAAGGATATTCTTCAAAAAAAATAAATGGTTTTAAATTTATTAGTTTCAAAGGTAGAAATAAACTTATCTTTAAACAAGTACATATCATGCATGAGGAACTCGAAAGAGAAGAAGCCAGCAATGAAGGTAATCTTCTACCCACATCACCGCTATAAACAAATCTGAAATAGGTAACCTACCCTGTCAGGTATATTTACGTATGTTCCAGCATCAAGCAGGTCCTGTACAATCTCCGTATGTCCCTCCTTCGATGCAATCATTAAGGCTGTATTTCCATCTTTATCTGTTAAGTTTACATTTGGATTCCTCTTTAAAATTTCTTTTACTGACTGTGTGTAGCCTCCTTTCACTGCCACAATAAGTGCAGTCATTGAATTCTAAAAAAAAGTCCAAGAAATTAGCATACCTAGAAAACATAATTGCTGTCATAATCAGAAAATTGATGTTTTCAAATAGCCTATTCTTAACAGTTATTTCCAATAATGAAATGCCAACATAATCAAACACATACCAAAAAATGACAGGAGGCGTACTTCAAGTTTGTGAAATATGTAATCCTCTAGAGTCATTAGAATTAGTAGGAGGTTCAGTTCATTTAAATGATAATCATACACTGGACTCATTTTCAATGAATGAACCCTCTTATTAATGTGATGAAGTTGCAGTTGATAGAATGACTCAGAATTAAACATTCTAAATTAAATAACTGAAAAAAGGTGAATCAAATTCTAAACTAAGAATGCTTTATAATAAGCCTATAGGAAAAACTGAAATAAAACAATGAATTTGGGCTAGGGATGTGGCTCAAGCAGTAGTGCGCTCGCCTGACATGTGCGGGGCACTGGGTTTGATCCTCAGCACCACGTAAAAATAAAATAAAGATGTGTGTCCACCAAAAACTAAAAAATAAATATTAAAAAAATTCTCTCTCTCTCTCTTTAAAAAAATGAATTAATGCTATGGAATATTTCTTTTTTTTTTTAAAGAGAGAGAGAATTTTTTAATATTTATTTTTCAGTTCTCGGCAGACACAACATCTTTGTTTGTATGTGGTGCTGAGGATCGAACCCGGGCCGCACGCGTGCCAGGCGAGCACGCTACCGCTTGAACCACATCCCCAGCCCCGCTATGGAATATTTCAAGAAAAAGCATAATGTATGTTCTTCACAGTAATCTAAAAACCACATTTTCAAAAATAGATAAAAATCACTTAAGTAATTCTAAAAATCACACATCTCATTAAGCCATAATTCTCTTACATGTGAAAAACACAGACTTTTCAAATTCCTTAGCAGTCCATCATCACAGAGACAAGCCACTCATCCACTTGACAAGCTGTCCAGAAACGAGTCAAGTGGAAGGCATGATGTTTGCGGCTGCCTACGAATCATGCTGTTTCCAAACAGCATGAAAATACTATATAGTCCTTAAAGGTCAGCAGATAGGGGCTTGTGACAAGATGGAAAACAGGAGGAAGAGTTGCCATTATTCCAGTGCAATGTGGAGAGTTTACTCTTGTTTTATGTAGCCAGAGATTTGGTAGTATATCTTCTCAGAACAATTTATTGTTCAGCTCACACAAGGTAGTTATGTAAACAGCAGTCTACATTATTTTAACTGTTTCTTTACACGTAAATCTTGGTATCCTGTATATTCTTATAAGCTCAAAGAAAAAGCAATTTATGAGGCTTCTCTGGTCTTCCCAGTACTAATACCACAGGCTGGGTACTCAGCTGGTTCTCAGTTAGGAATTAACAACTGCTAGTCAGTAAGCAGTATTAAACTAATTTTGAACTTTCTAGGTTTTAACAGCTGACTTCTGATTTATTATTTTTTTTACTGAAGAGGGAGAATAAAGTACAGCTAAAAAATTCAAAAAAATTATAATACTATTTTAAGTTTTTAAGGAAAAAGCATTTTAATAGAGCATAAGCTTTTTTCCTACAACTAAGATTAAAAAAACTATTCAATTTGGGGCTGGAGTTGTAGCTCAGTGGTAGAGCACTTGCTTGGCATGTGTGAGGCACTGGGTTCGATCCTTAGCACCACAAAAGAAATAAAATAAAGGGGGGCTGGGGTTATGGCTCCTGGTAGAATGCTTGCCTAGCATGCGTGATGCACTGGGTTCGATCCCCAGCACCACATAAACAAATTAAATAAATAAAATAAAGGTATTATGTCTAAAAAAAATAAAGGTATTATGTCTATCTACAACTAAAAAAAATTAAAATTAAATAAAATAAAGGGATTGTGTCCATCCACAACTGAAAAAAATACTTTAAAAAAAATAGTCAAGGGGTTGGGGTTGGGGTTGTGGCTCAGCGGTAGCGCACTGGCCCTGCACACTCAAAACCCTGGGATCGATCCTCAGCACCACATAAAAATATATGAATAAAATAAAGGTATTGTGTCCAACTACAACTAAAAAATAAATATTAAAAAACTATTCAATTTGAAGAGTTTTTCAAACAATTAGATTACTGAAAATTATACTTAGTAGTTTTAGCCTCTCAAAATTTGTATGCATTAGCACCTGATTCTTAAAAGTACCTGATTCTTAAGTTTTTCATTTTGGATAATAGGGAAAAAAATGCTTGTTTTTCTAAGAACTGGAAGGAAATATTTATAGGCATATACTAAGGAAAAATATTCTCTCTCCTAAAACCAGGGGTTAAGATATGAAAGATACTTACAGCTCCCTCTTGATCAACATCAGCTCCCATGGCCAATAAATGCTTTACACACTCCAAATGACCCTTTCGGGCAGCCCAAACCAAGGGGGTGGTTCCATACTATCAAACAATAAATGTAAAATTATCATCAGAAATATACTAAAAGAAACTAGATTATAGCATGAATTCTGATGAAATCATAATTTCAGTGTTCTTTAGATAAGTTTTTGTAGCAGTCATAATTGTAATTTTAGATAAATTCTATGTCCCCCATTTTACTTTTTCTGAATAGGTGGTAAATCAGAGAATGTCTTTTAACCAACTTTACATATTTATTATAATCAATGATAATTTTTCCATCATAAATTCACACAGTCGCTAATTTAACAAGCTTTCACTTCTTCCCATATCTTATGAAACAGAATTTACAGTGCAACAGTCTACTAGAGGAACAAAGAATAACAACCATGGGCCCAACAGTTCTATCAATATGGTTTCTTTACACATAAATCTTGGTATCCTGTATATTCTTATAAGCTCAAAGAAAAAGCAATTTATGAGACTTAAATGGTTAATGCACATATCCTTCTTACAGAATCTGTGCAATTCATAGTATCACATTTTCACAGATGAGGAAAGTGAGGCCATTACCAAGGCTGAGGTCACAAAGCTTAAGAAGTGGAACAAGATCTATGAACCCAACAAGCCTGGCTTCAGAGTCCATACTCTTAACCGCCATCCCACATCAGCCTCTATTCTTGACCACTTCAGCCTACAGAGACTGTGCTCAAATGGACCTTTTTTCTGGAACTTGATTCAAAAGACATCAGAAAACCTAAATCATGCATAAAGGGAATGTTGAGGCTTTGGGGAGTCTGGACATCAATAAACAAATGAAAACCCATGAAGATCTTTAAGAACAGGGAACCTACAGGTGGGAATCAACATTTAATGAACTCTTTACCGCAGCCCTGTCCATAGGATGTTCTGTGTTGATGAAAATGCTCTATAATTCCATACTGCCCAACACAGCAGACACTAGTCATCATGTCTATTATGTACTGAAATGTGGCTAATGTGACTGAGGAACTAAATTTTTAATTTTACTCAATTTAAGCCTAACTAGCCATATGTACCTAGTGACTATGACACTGGGTAGCACCTCTCTACAAATATGAAAGACACCCCATCAACAACATTGTTGCAAGCTGTAGCAGCTGGCACTCTCCCTTGATGAATGTGACCTTGTGACAGGCAGAATCACAGGGCTGCAAATACGGCATATGGGAAGGGAGGCCTGACAAAAAGGAGAAAGGCCATAAAGAGAACAGCTGTCACCATCACTGCCTCCAAATAAACTCAGAGAGATGGAATAAGGGCTACAGGAAGAACTTTCCAATTTTACTCCTGCATCCACAGTCTTCGCCCAGAATTAAATTCTCTTTTCTAGCCTGCTCCTTTGTGGATAAAATTTTTTCTTACTGAAATGCCCTCCCCTGCCCTACAAGCAAGATCCTAGACCTGCCAAGGTAACACACATACCCATTTACCACTCATCAAGCCTTCTTTAAATATTCTAATTATAATTAAAATCTCATCCTGTGAAAACCTATTACATTTGATTTTCACAATCCTTGGAGAACTGTGGAAAGCTGTATGCCATTGTGCCTGCTCCCCTCCCCTTCGCACCAGTCCCCGGACCTCACTCATAAGTTCAGCTGACATCTCCCTTGAAACATCACAAAGAGCTCTTAAGATCCAGCAAGACCTTCTTTGCCATGCTTCCTATCTACTTCAAAACAGCTCTGCAGCCAGTCACCTTACTAAGCCTCTCTCTTCTCTTCTCCTCACATTCTGGCCTCTATTCCTCCTAAACAGAATAGCTCGATGCACTCTTGATTCCATCTTTCCTTCTTCACCCAGACCCTTACTTAGAGATCTCCTCCCACATCATCAGTCTTTTCCTATTCCCCCTTCCTGTTAGGCTCCCAACTTAAGTTCTTCCTCTTTAGGTTCTCCTGTCCAAACAAACTTTTCCAAAATAAGCTACCCTCTCAATATATATATATATATATATATATATATATATATATATATATATAGAGAGAGAGAGAGAGAGAGAGAGGGTAGCTTATTTTATATGAATATATTAACTTTATTTACATTCATATTTATATGAATATAAATATATATTAATCAATATATTCATCCTTGCCCTTTCTTTCATACTTTTCAAAATAATGTATAATGCCTATTTCTAATTCCTCACCAAAACCCCCTCAAAAACTAGTTTTTACTACAAATATTACAAAATCAGTATTCCTGAGTTCACCAATAGTTATCTGAATCCCAGATCTATTACGTATCTTTAACTCAGTTCTTTCTTTTCCTGAAAGTTCTGCAGTGTTCTGAACTTCTGACTATATCTTTTGGTACAGGGGACTGAACTCAGGGACACTTAACCCACTGAGCCACATTCCCAGCCCTTTTTTGTACTTTATTTAGAGACAGGGTCTCACTGAGTTGCTTAGTGCCTTACTAAATTGCTGAGGCTAGCTTGAGCTTACGATCCTCCTGCCTCAGGCTCCCCAGCCACTGGGATTACAGGCATGTGTCTGACTGTATCTTTGACCTTGAACATCTAATTCATTCATCGCCTTTGACTTGTTTGCCAGCCAAATTCTCCTTCCTCTGGAAACACTCCTAATAATCAGCCCTCTAGTCATCACAATATATTACTATGAATCTTAGTTATCAAATCCATGTTCCCCAAATTTCAAGAACCACCTCTATGCAACTCCTTCATCACCAGCAGCCCAAATCTCTATGCCTACTACCCAGCGAGACAGACACCTTTAACTATTGATGCACCATTGCTTCAAAGTTAACACATCTAAAAAGTAACTTCATTTTCTTTTTTTAAAAATTACCATAAAAACCTATTTTTTGTCAGAATAACAATACTCCCTTGGTCTTTGATGCATCCCACTGTTCACTATTAAGTGATGATTTTTTTCTAAAATACCAGTTTGCATCAATTAACTACTCAAATTCTCCAATGTTTTTCATTATCTGCAGGAGAGACAACCACTTCCTCAGTAAGATGTTCAAGGCCGACTGGAAGCTGGCTCCTTCTAGGGCCATGGCTTCCTCCCACAGCTCCTCTCTTCACACCTGGCTCAGCTCTACCCACACTGGTCTGCTCAGCATGAGCAGTGAAGTCACATGAACATGCCATATGAAGTCACGTTCTGGGGCTTTCTGCTCTTATTTTTTCCTATGCCTAGTAAGGTTTCCTCCCATACTGTCCATAGATATAAGTTCTGCCCTTTCTTTAAGGCTACACTAAGTGTCAGTTCTTCTATGGATTCTCCTATCTTCAAACTCCTAAGTCACCTGACACTTAGCTTCACATTTTATACTCCCATTTATCTACCTGCTTCTCTAAACATAGAACATTTTTTGTTTTTGTTTTTGAATCTTCTGTATTAAGTGTGGGGACAGGACACTGCACATAGCAGGTAGCAAACATCTTCTCAAAATGCTAAAGAGTAACAGATTGAGTAGCATCATAAATTATTCTGGAGGGCCTAGAATGTCAGGTTATATATAAATAATTTTCAATAGGCCAGAAGGAAAAAATAAAGGTTTGTCTATTAACATAAGAAGACAAAAGACAGAACTGTGCCCATTTTACACATGCCTCAAACCTCAATCTAAAGTAGCCAATATTCCTAAATGCCACATTATAAATGTTTGAATAGGCTTACCCTCCTCATTAACCTATTATTTTATGGAATATTTTTTAAAAACCAAGGCACAGAAACCATAAAGTATAAAAATAAACTAATCCTGAATACACTACTTGAAGATTTATATGTGTACACACCTGTATGACCACCATCCAGATCAAGACATTGGTGATTCCCAAGTAAGCAATAATGTGTACTTAAAGAAGATAATGCTCAGAATCTATTCCAATTACAAAAAAAAAAAAAAAGTCTTCAGGAAATAACTACTCTTTTCTATGTTCAGATACACAGTTATTAATCTGAAAAGAATATAATCATCACAACAATAAGCCAAGCTCTAAGTTACCTAGTGAAAATAATGGAGGTAAAAAATGACACCCCCCCAAAAAAAAGTGAGGAGCATATTCCTTATCTTCATGAAATGTACTCTCCAGTGGTAAGAAAGACATAAAAATCAATCATTATGAGACAATAGTTTGTGTGCACTGATGGAAGGATGCGTAGAAAGCACTGATAGCACAGAGAAAGGGCACCAAGGAGGAGACTTAACCAGGCAGGTTAAGAGCTCAAATGAGCCTTGAAAAATAAATAGGAGTCCATCAATCAGAGGAGGTAATAATATCATTCCTAAGAGAGGGAACAGAATAAAGGTCACAGAATGTGAGACACGCTGTTGTATCTAAAAACATAGTGTATATAGAAATGAATGGCAAGAGTTTAGCCTAGGAAGACAGACTAAAGCCAAACTGAGACATCTGACTGGGCTTTACCCAGAAGCAGTGAAAGTTACCAAAGCTCTTCAAGAGCAAGGAAAAATAAGAGGATTAGACTAGCATCTATTCAATGTTTGAGAGGAGTGTTAAGGGTTAAAAAAAAAAAAAAGGAATAGAACAACAACATAGGGAGCTTTTTAGAGATGAGCCAAGCCTCCAGAATTAATAGAAGCTATGGCAGATAAGGAGGAAAGGACACACTGAGAAAGAGGTTCCCTGGGAAAGAGCATAGGAGCTCAGGAAACCATGTCATTTGGCTAGCTTGCACACAAGGTAGTTGGGGTACAGGTAGCAGGGGAAAAGGGAGAAAGGAGGCACAGCCTATTCCATCCATAATACCAGGGATAGTCTTTAGGATCTTAAGCACAAGAGAGAGACAACCAAACCTGAATTTTAGAAAGATCATTCTTGCAACAATACAGAGAAAGCAGACAGGACTGAAGGTGGGAGGAACAGTTATAACAGAAAATCTCAAATGATGAGAACAGTGAATCCATTATCCCTGTCTATCTCCCTAAGAATAAGGAATGCAACAAAATAAACATCAAAAGGATGTTTAGTAAAAATACATACAAGGGATTCATCCATGAAATATATATCTATCTAAAAATACAATGATATACAAAAATATGAGATACATTAGAGCAATTACACTTGAAAATGTTTATAACTTAGATACCTCAAGTGGACATAATACAGACTGGAATCTGGCCACATCCTACCAACTTACCTTATCAGAGCAGTTGACTTTAGCACCATTTTGCAGTAAGATATGCACTATATCTGCATGACCTCTCCCCGCTGCCCAAATGATTGGATAAACACTGTACTGCTGGGATGGACAGATAGATAGGAAGGAGGGAGGGATAGAAAGAAGGAAAAAGAAAAAGGGAGGGAAGGAGGGAGAAAAAGAGGAAATCTTTTGGGTGGATATTCACAAAACACATCTGCTAAGTAAAGTTAATGTTAACATTCGAGCTCTAAGATTTACTTTTATGTTGACAAAAATTGAGAAATAAACTTAGCTTATAAAATTCTTATTTTGTTTAGAAATCACATTCTGTATTTAATATGACCTAGAAAAATCTCCATCCACCTGGAAGTCACATGTAAACAGTCTAATGCATCCCTTAAGAAAATTTACCCCATAGTCACAAATGAGCTTTTTGTTACTGCTTACCAGACCAGTGACATTTGGATTGGCACCATGAGAAAGAAGCAACTCTACTACTTCAGTACGACCTTTGTAACATGCCCACATGAGAGCAGTCCATCCCCCCTAAAGAAAACAGGAGAAAAAAAAGGGCAGGATAAAACTGGGTATTTTCCAAGCATAAAAATACTACCACTAATTAAGGTACTTCTGTGTATATCTTTATGAACCATTGTTTCATGAAGGTAGTACTATGTAATTTTACAATATTCCCAGAAACATACATAATTGTACATGAAATGAGTCAAATCTCTTACATTCCCAAATGACTCTAAAGTTTATGCTATATCACATATATTGAAATAGGGAACATTTTTGTTGGACAATTCCAAATTTCTACATTAATTTTGGTTACTTAAAAATGTTAGGGAATTAATTTCAAGAAACAACACCTAAATTTGTAAAAATCAAAAGACTGTGGCTAATTATAGAAATAGTTTTATATTTCATTAAACTCATTCAGCTTAGTGCCTACAGAAAGACTCCTCCTGAGGGCTGGGGTTGTGGCTCAGTGGCAGAGTGCTTGCCTAGCATGTATGAGGCACTGGTATGTAAGGTAGAGCTTGTTGTTTTGCAGTAATTTTGTAGTAATTTTGGCTACTTAAAAATGTTAGAGAATTAACACACCTCGGCACCACATAAAAACAAATACAGATATTGTGTCAACAGACAACTAAAAATATATATATTAAAAAAAGAAAGAAAGAAAGAAACTTCCCCAGACTTCTTGACAATGTATCGTGGAATTCTTTCTGAATCCCACAGGACCCCAATAATCACTCTCCTCTCCTTGCACAAGTCCCAGGACTCTGTCTTCCCTACGTTGGTAGCTACTACCATCTGCCAATCCTTTGACGTTAAGTTGCCACAATAACTACTGAGAGAGACAGGGTCCCCAGTTTCCCCAACTCGTGGCATTTTAAAGCCAAACACAAAGATCCTTTAAATGTTAAAAATTGTATGATCATTACTTTGGGGAAATAGGGAGAAATCGGGAAAACCAAAAAAAGTTTAACAAATCATTCTTTAGAAATCTTATCAAAATTCCTAAATCTTAACTTCCCTGCAGACGTATATAGAAGAATGATAGAGGAGAAAGGCTTTGGAGAAGGCAGAGCTGGACTCAAAACCCACCCACACTGACTGCTTAGTACTGCTTAGTAGTTCTGTGACTTTGGACAAAGACTCACCTCTTCCAGCCCCAATTTCCTCAACTATACACTGAAAATAAAAATCAACCTTTAGTTCATGGGATTGTCTTGAGAAGTCAATTAAATGATACAGAGGCCATAAAGCACCTAAAAATGACAGTCACAGAACTGGTACCTAATATATTCATCACATGGTAAACTAGTATGGTCCCTTTAATAAAATATTGAGAACAACAAGATACCTTATATACCAATAAAGTAAGAGCACCACCTTTTACTCTCAGCTGCTATATCCATCCTTTGCCTAGGCTACTGACATTATTATCTTCTCTCCCTAAACTTCTATTGATTAAACTCAAACATCTTTTTGGAAATTATACAACATAAACATTTCTCTGAATATGTTAGTGAGCTTTCCATCACTGTGACAAAAACAAAAAAACACCTCAGATCTGAGATAAACTCCTTGAGAAGGAAAGGTTAATTTTGGGTTTGTTTTGTTTTTTAGTTATAGATGGACACAATACTTTTATTTTACTTGCTTATTTTTATACAGTGCTGAGGATCGAACCAGTGCTTCTCCTGTGCTAGGTAAGTGCTCTACCACTGAGCTACAGCCCTAGCTCGAAAGGTTTATTTTGGCTCATGTTTTCAAAGGTTTCAGTCCACGGTCACCTGGCCCATTGCTTTTGGGCTGTGGCAGTGGAGCACAGCACATCATGGGAGGAGCACACAGCAGAGACCTGTGGATCTCATGGCAGCAGGAAGCAAAGAGATAGAAGAAGGGACCAGAATCCCAATGTTCTTTCCAAGGGCAGATCTCCAGTGACCTGACCGCCTTCCACTAGGCCCCACCTCTTAAAGGTTCCACCACATCCCTAGGGCCATAGCTGGGAACTAAGCACTTAACACTGCAGTCTTTGAGGGACATTTTAGATACAAAGTATAACAGTATCTTCTTATAAAAGTAAGTATACCACCTATTCTGCTATGTTTTAAGAATACAAGACTAGAGAGAGAAAACCCATACATAAATCATAATATGCTATTAAGTGCAAAATGGGGAAATGCAGTAGTTTTTTTTAAAGCTCAGACCACCTGTACTTCATAAAGCACCATCAGCTAAGTAATAATTGTATTATATGTCAAGGCAGATCATCTCATTCCTTTCTTCTCCTATTAGAATTAACTTTTAAAAAGATTAAGCATTTTACAGAATAACACATTTTACTTTTATGCTTTAACCAGATGCCAAGATCAAATAAAAGCTAAGTGACAATTAAGGACCTCAGCTTGTTAAACTTGTAATGTGCACAGATAGCAAGTCTGAACAAAATTACATTTTATAAACAAAAGTACAAGTATTATTCTGAAAGTTATAAGTGACAAAAATATTTTTAAAACTCTACAACGTCCTTCTTAAAGTTGTGTCTAAAGGCAACAATTTTTCAAAAGTTATAAAATATCGACATGTGGAAGAATAAGTTTTTTTAACAATATTTCAGAATTTTAAACTCTGAAATAAACTAAAGATGGTGCGTTCTAAAAGAGGGACATTATTATGCTTGGGTTCAAAACACCCTTGAAGGTCCAATCCCAAATCCTGAAGTCATAATGATATCACCTCACACATAAAAACATAGGACTTCACAAGTATCTGTTATTCCTGATAAGATTTCAGATAATTAATATCATAATAAGGAAAATGTACATACCATATCACGGTGCTCCAGATTAACCCCACATTTAAGCAGTTCTTCCACAATGTGCATGTGCCCTTCTTTTGATGCAGATATAAGTGCTGTCCAATTATCCTTGAACACATAAAAATAATGGTGGGTTTTAAAACCAAAAATAACATTCCAAGGTGAGGAAAAACAAATTTGAATTTACATACCAAATGATCATACCAAATTGCCATGATGCAGCCCACTTTAAACTTTTATAAAATAATGCTAAGTTTCTCTTAAGAATTTATCTACCTCTATCACTACTAATGATGCAGAAATGGTTTCACAAAGCTTGTTCAGTCTTCTCACTGGACTTCTAATCGCATACAGTGTTTTTTAAAAGGGAGAAAAGATGAGACCACCTAAACCTCAAGGCTAATCCTGTGGCTAGCAATCTTTACTATAAATTGAAATTAAAAAGCCTATAATCAGATCTGAGAGCACATACACAGGCCATTAAATTAGAGTGAGTCCACTACATAATAAAAAAAAAAAAAGCTATCCTTTATTTTTAAAACAAAGGATACAAGTATACTATTTTAACCTTTATTCATGAGAGCAATTTAAATGATCATTCAATTTGAAAAAATATGTAGCCATGTGACCTGACCCTCAAAGTGATTCTAAGAATTAGAGCTAATGTAACCTTTTGGAATGATGATTTATCCCCCAGAAGCGACATCAGAAGGGACCACCTCTGACTGTTATCAAATGTGATATTTGCAGTAAAGCATCATTAGGGGATATTTTCTAGGCAGGCATTTAACTGTATGAACATGTGCTCTCTATTCAGCCATCACCATCTATGTAAGAAAAACAAAAAGAGCTGACATCCTTCATTTTGAAAGCAAACTTTTTTCTCCTAAAATACTCTTTAAAAAACTGATGTAGCACACTAGACAAAGTTAAGATATACCTGAAAGTACAAATATAATCAATTACTTTTGAATCATTTCTTAAAACTGAAGAAACACAGTTAAAGGAAAAAAAAGACCAAAGAATAAATTATGTTTATAAATACCAAATCTTCCAAATTGCAGTTAGCTCCATTCTTGATCAATTCTTTCACTATTTCCAGATTGCCTTGCTGAGCAGCTATCATCAGTGGAGTTTGGCCACACTGGAGGATATAAAACACACCGGGATGATATGCTTTCACTGCAACACTACAGTTAAATTCACCACACTTGTATTTTCATGAAGTATGTTAAGGACTACTTGTTTTTACTATATTTCTTTCATTTAGAAACAGCTTTAAACCTTTAGTTTTTTGTTGTTGTTGTTGTTGCTTTGTTTTTGTTTTTTTGTTTTGTTTTGGTTTTTTTGTGGAGTGGGGAGGGCTACTGGGGATTGAACTCAGGGGCACTGAACCACTGAGCCACATCCCCAGCCCTATTTTGTATTTTATTTAGAGACAGGGTCTCACTGAGTTGCTTAGTGCCTCGTTTTTGCTGAGGCTGGCTTTAAACTCACAATCCTCCTGCCTCAGCTCCTGAGCCACCAGGATTACAGGTGTGCATCACCGTGCCCAGCAGGACATTTACTTTTGGTTTACTGACAATTTAAAAGTCAAAGAGATAATTAAATCAAATTTTTTTCTTTCCATGGTGTTAATAATCTGATTTTGACACTATGAATTCATTCAAACTCAGTAAACATGCATAGCATTAAGATCTGGAAAGTTAATTCCCACACTGCATATAACCAAATATGCATCATTCCAAAAGGCTACATTAACTATTGTAACCAAATACTCTAACAACTGTTGAGGGCCACAGCCGAGTCGGGATGACACATGGCATTTTTGCCAGAAGTAGTGGTTGAGAGGTGACGCCAGCAAGTTCTCACGGAGTTCCCGCTGAGTTCCAGTTGAGCTCTAGCGGGGATTCCCGGAGAGTTCCCATTGGTTGGGGAAGTGCCGGAGGAGGGATATTTCCGGTTGCTGGTTCCTGGATGAGTCACGTGGCGTTCGGGAGAATTCCTGGGAGCGTGTGTGGAGTGTGCTGGTGGAGTTCAGAAATAAAGTTTGTTCCTGCTTCAGTGGCTCGTGATTTGTGCCCAGCCAGACTGCGGCAAACAACATAGGCAAAATATGATGTAGAATGAGGTTTTAATCACACTTGTTTCATCTAAAGCAAAACATAAAAGCAACACAAGTGCTACTTATACAATACACATATGTAATTTAAGCCTTTCCTTACAACCTTGACTCATTAAAATAAAGTCTGGGCTAGTTGAGTCAATGTTTCCAGTCTTCCCAAAAGTGAATGCAGTGGGTAGCTCCATTGGCCCTGGAAACAGGGTAGGGTCCTGCAGCTGGCTCTGGGACAAGTCACTTTCTCCACTCAAAGTGCAGTACATATTAGGAAATCACCAGATAATTCTAAAGATACTAAAACAAAGGAATAAGAGAAAACTTTACACCAAAACTTAAAAATACTTATTTATGCACCTACTTATGTGGATGTGTACTGTGTATCAGCATGGAGGAAAAATCTGTAATTTTATTTTTAATGCCAATTTGACGTCATTTCTTTGCTTCAAACCCTTCAATGTTTCCCCACTGATCTTCTGGATAAGAACTCACCAAGGCCTACAGAAGCCCTGAATGACAGAGAGACAGGCCTGCCCTGATCCTGGGATTGCCCTTTACCATTTAATCCTTGCTTGGTGATACATTTTTATTTGTGTGATTAACAACTGATTTTTGTCTATCTTCCCTAAAGGCTCTATACTCCCTGAGGAAATGTATCTATTTTGTTCATGTGTATAATATTGTACATGGAAAGACAGTGAAATGAATTGAACATAACTTTCCGATGTTCATATATGAATACACCACAGTGAACCTCCATATTATATACAACCGCAAGAATGGGATCTTAATTAGAATAAGACATACTCCATGTATGTATTATATATCAAAATATTCTCTACTGTCGTGTATATCTAAAAAAGAACAAATAAAAAATATATTGTAATGGAATATGAGGGACAGTTGACACCAACCAGGTGCTCCAATTTTTTCAAGTATATAAGTGAGCCAAGTCTTAAAAAATTTAAAAATCAATTAAGAGCAACACAGAAACAAGCAAATGATTATAATAATAACTGTCAAGTACAATTAAAAACTATTGCAAAGATAATACAAATAGAGTTTAACACAAATACTGGTACTAATAAATGCAAAAGTAACTCACATTTAAATATAGACATTCTTAGTAAATGATTGATACTAAACTATATATGGCTACCACATCATTCAACTGGAGTCATTAGGGAAGGAGGGGTTACAAATAAACAGATTTTACAGGTGAAAAAGTTAATCCTTTAAACATTAAATTTGATAATCACCATTCTAAAAAGCAAGTGCACATACTGCTACTTGTTAAACAGATTACCTTAAAGATTATGTTTATGGTTCTGAGTCAGAGTACAGACATCAATTACTATACCACACATGCCTCTGTCAGCTCTAAATTGTTCAGTGTATACTCTACAGCGTGTTTTTCCCTTCTAATCTACTCAGATGAAGAGTGAGATATCAAAGTCCCTGGTAAAATACAGAAATTAAAGCTAACAAAATGAATCCAAGACACTAAGAATGCATGAATTTTACATCACCATTTCCAAAACAGTAATAGCAAAGACTCAGAGGCACATTCTGTTTACATTCTGGAGTCACTGCTGCACCTCAGATGGTTCACACAGTTAAAGAGTTTCATGAAACAAGATCTTCAAAAATAATGTAAATGTGCATTAGTACCCAAACACAAAGAAAGATGGTATAAACCTGATTTACTAGAATTACATGCCACATGACTTAAATAGTCACAATTTTCTCTTGCAGAAACTCTGAACTGTCTTCCAGTATCTAGAGGAACCACATTTGGCTGGGGTGGCAATGTGCTGGCTAAAAAGCCCCCCTTGTGGCCAGAAATGATCCCATGACACTACTCTTTGGCTGTGAGGGGACTAGTTCAGGTGGCTTATATCCTTTTTCTAATTTCTTGCCCAATATGCAGACAGAATGCTGAAGTTGAGGTGAGTAACTGGGACAATAAGGAGTGGCCAGAAAAGTACAAAAAGCCTGGGTCCTTGAGATGTCCTGAATCCACCACACCAGTCTTGGACTGGCTCCTCTGTTTGTAGCTTGTCATTATATGAGAACAATAAAACCTTCAATTTTAAACCATTGTCCTGAGAGCTATTAGACACAGTTCAAAGCAAATCTTCACTGGTAAACCTTCGTATCCAAAAAAGTAAAAGAAATTCAACAAAGGTTGCCATAAGTTTTATTAGATTCCAAGAGAAGGATAGCTACCTTATAAATTGTCTTAAAACAAAGCCTATCTTTGGACTCTCCTGGTTCTTGCTTAACCAATCCAGTAACTACAGTTGCAGAAATAAGGACTAACTTATTATGTTATGACAACTTCACCATTCCACCTGAAAATGAACCACTGAAGTTCCCTTCCATATCTAAGCCCAGATGCCCCCATCAAACCCTGAACCTAACTCTTTCCAAAAAGCACAAGATTTCATAATCCACAACCCCCTGTTAAGGTTTGAGTGTTCCCTTAAGTTTGTGTGCTGGAAACTATACGGGGAGCCACCCGTGAATTACATGAGGATCTTCACTTGGTATCCAGCCATGGAGATTTAGGTTTTTCCTTGGAAACTATCCTGGCTCCCCCAGCAGGCATTAGATTGCCCAAAGCACATGACCTCTATCTCTGCTCTACTAGGAAGACCCCCTCTTGTAGCTCTGGAGTTGGGCATAACCCATTGGGAACTGGACAGCCCATCTCCTACCTTATTTGGCAAAGAATATTCCATGAAAAACCTTTGATGTTCCCCAATATAAAAAAAGCAAGCCAGGGCTCCATTTTGCTTGCCCACTCTTTTTCCAGTGTGGAAGCTCGATCATTAAGATCGGCAAACCTGTCCCACCCCAGCTTTTTAAAAGTACTTCCTGTGTTCTGTGGTTCTTTCACCCTTCTGTCTTTATTAGCCTTTATTTCACAGCCAACCCATTCCACGAAGAGGAACCCCATTTCCACCGCCTGCACAGGTCACTGGCAGGAAAACTTAATCCTCAAAGCAACAGTGTTGGGGGGTAATGAGGTAATGAGATCACAACCCACACAAATGGATTGATGCCACCATTGTGAAAGGAATACGTTCCTAATAAAAGGATACAAGAATGAGTTTGGTTCCCTTCCCTCTTCTCTCATTCTCTTTCATGTTCTCTTACCCATGGAATGGCTACTGTTATGTTGCCTCATCAGATGCCATCTCCTTGATCTTGAACTTCCTAGCCTCCAAAAGCATGAGCAGTGAACTTCTGCTGTTGAGAAATTACCCAGTGTGTGGTATTCTATTCTGAATGCAGCACAGACAAAGGTATCCCTGCTCCACTACACAATGACCTCAAGCCAAGACACCAAACACAAAACTGAACACTCAGCCCAAATTCAAAGTCCTAACAGGTACCATCATTTCTTTCAATTTCTCAAAAGACTACAATGCAGAAACACCCACTATTCCATCATCTTTTTGTTATTTGTAATTCCTACATTCCAATTTCTACTTAATTTTCTTTAGCAGCTATTTATAAACACATACAGTGTATCTCTTTAAGTCCCATTTAATTTTCCTAACCAGTAGAATAATGTCCAGCCTCAACTCTACCTCATGTACAAATAAGAGCCGAAAGTGACTTTGTTCTTTCCAAAAATAAGTCTTTCCCTGCTCAAAAAGGGCAAAGATATGCCATCATTGAGACTATTTACAAAGCCAAGAAATTTATCTAGTTTATCAATAAAGTAGGAAGAAAACAAAGGAGGAGGCTAGAATTTACTGATTATGGCTGATTATATTTTAAGCACAGTTTCAGACTATTTTATCTACATTACTTTATTAAATTGATCTAATATTTAAGAATCCTTTTCAGAATAATTAAAATACATTACTATGAAATTACTTAAATACTTTCAAGAACAAAATAGAAGTGAGAAAATTCAAAAAACTTTTAAAAATCTATAAAGATTAAATTTTATAAGCTGTTGGGCAGTGGATGTAGCTCAGTAGTACAGTGCTTGCCTGACATGCATGAGATCCTGGGTATTATCCCCAGCACTGCAAAAAAGAAAAAAGTTGTAGATGTAAAGTGCTAAGAATTAAAAAAACAGAAAAAGGCCTTAAGAAAGCTACTTCAATGAGACTGTATGACCAATGTGATTCTACAATATGCACACTCAGAAAAATGAGAAATCATATCCCACCTATGTATGATACATCAAAGTATATAAGTGCATCCTACTGTCATGTATAACTAATTAAAGCCAATTTAAAAAAAAAAAAAAGAAAGAAAGCTACTTCACCCAAAATCTTCACATGGAGCCAAATATCAAGGGGTTTTGAATTAAAATTGACACAATATTAAACTAGCTATAATGATAACTAGTTGCCATTGAATGCTATCTCATGTATGATGTTATATTAGCTCAATGCCAAAAATGCTTCACTCCTTAAGGCAATAAGAGTAATATAATCTTATACTTACTGATGTGCTATTTGTCTCCTTCCCAGTGAAGGTGTTCTTTCAGTATTAAGAACAAAAGATTTCTTTTCAAACTATTTTGTTATTCTAAATAAACTAATATATACTAATAAAATACTTCTTTAGGTAATTCTTTTATAACAATAATCGCCAAGTTTTAATCTTATCTCTTTATGATAATTCTTGACTATTCATAATCAAAAAGAGTTAACAAATGTTAACGAACTATATTATATTTTGTTCAACACAAAAACATTGAAAATATAGGCATTATCATTAGATCAAATCCAGGGCCTCATGCATGCTAAGCAAATGCTACTATTGAGCTGCACCCGCATCCCCATGGAAAGTTGTCCAATATGCAGAGCTTTGGTTTTGCAAGATCCAAACATTCTGGAGATCTGTTGCACAACAAGGTAGAAATACTTATGATGATTCAACTGTATGTTTAAAAATTCAGATGGGCCAGGCGCAATGTGACATGCCTGTAATCTTGAGAATCTCAAGTTCAAGATCAGTTTGGGCAACTTAGTAAGACCCTGTTTTGAAAATGAATAAAAGGGGCTAGGATACAGCTTAGTGATTGCCTAGCAAATGGGAGGGCCTACATTCAATCCTTAGTACCACCAAAAAAAGGTTAATAAATAAAATTAAAAATAGTTAAGATGATAAATTTCATATTATGTGGGGTTTTTTACTATAATAAAAAACAAGTATTTTTTACATGTGTATACACAGAAATGCATAAGGACACATATAAATCCAAGTACATACACACATTTTACACATGTACTTACATTACATTAAAAAATTATTCCTTATTCAGCTTTTCTGCTAACAAAAAAAAGCACTATTAAAAGTACAGTTCTATGAAATGTTTATTTTCCTGAGGTTTTATAAAATACACACATATTTTGCCAGTTACAAAATTCACACAAAAAATTTATTCATCTTTAAAACGGCATGCCAATTAATCTTCAGATTGGCTGTACATGATAAAATAAGATCAACATTTTGTACTCATATCAATAAATAGAAATAACTAATTTGTTAATGTTTATGAATTAATTAAACAATAACACATAACTTATTTAACTCTCTTTTAAAGACACTGCACTTAAAATTTCCCAGTGTGTAGAATGAAAAATTAAGGACAAAAGTTAGGACTCCATTGAAGAAAATATTTTTAAATTCCTAATTTTTGTCTGTTTAGTCTACTTGTAGGAAGAGCAGGTCTATATGCTCTCTAAAGCTTCCTAGAAACACTTTAATTTTCAAAGAATCAAACTTCCTGAATATTGATTATTACATCAGGGTAAAATCAATCAATTATCAACCTACATTCATTTAATCATTTATATAAGTTAAAATGTAGTCCAAAAACATGGACTACATCGAGTATTTTCAACAATAATGTCACATCATAAGTCCAATAAGACATGGCTGAGAACTGCCATTCCTACTCACTTCTATCCTGAGCATAGTGCCTGTGGGTTAGCCAGGAAATATCTCTGAAAGAATTTAATTGCAAGGAGGGCATGGTAGCACATGCCTGTAACCCCAGAGACCTGGAAGTCTGAGGCAGAAGGACTGCAAATTCAAAGCCAGCCTTAGAAACTTAGTGAGGTCCCAAGTAATCTAGCGAGATTCTGTCCGAAAATAAAAAATAAGAGGGATTGTGATGAGGCTCAGTGGTTAAGTACCCCTGGGTTCAATACCCAGTAACAAAAATAAAAAACAAAAACAAAGAACTTAATTATAGAAATGTGGACTTACCTCATTTCTCTCATCTACATCTTTGCATTTTTCAAGAAGAGCTTTCAAAGCAGGAATGTTTTCTTCTTCCACATAATTTATTACACTCTGTGATATCAGAACTGACATTTTCACAGAAAGCTATAGTTATCTTTATTTCAATACCTGTTAAAAATAAATTAGACAAAAGATGTATAATTTGTGGTAGGGGAAAAAACTAAGTTCTTATGAAAATATTATCAGTCTTAACCAAGTGGCAAGAAGAAAAACAAGGCCCCACAGCTGAGCAATTAAAATGCTGACATGATGTCTTTTCCCAAGACTCACACTTATCTTAAACTTAATCATTCAAACCTCAAACTCCAGATACATCCCCCAAACCCTCACCATCAACTCAAATACAAAGACATGATTCACTGCTCCTCTTACTGTCTGTATCTCAGTACATGGCAGCTCCAGCTCCATTCTTCCAAGGCCAAAAATCTTTGAATTGTACATGACTTCTCTTCCTCTTATATCCTACATTCAATATATTACCTACATGTTTTATAGGTAGAGCAAATATTTCACATTTGACTATCACACTACCACACTACCTCCATCACTACCACACTGGACAACCACCCTGACCTCACCTGAACAAGCACAGCTTCCTTCCCTTGCTTCTGCTCTGCCTGCCCTTCCCACTATCCACCACAACATACTTATAGTGATTGTCTGAGAACATAAGCTGGACCAGAGCTACTAAAGGCTGAAGGAATGTGGGGGTGGTCAGGAAAAGAAGCTGTTGGTCCAAGAATGCAAAGGGCTAGTTAGATAGGAGAAAGAAGTGTCATTAATCTATTGCATAGCGTGGGGATTGTAGTTAATAATAACGTATATTTCAAAATTGCTAGAAGAGTGAATTTTAAATGTTCTCACCACAAAGTAATGATAAGAATGTGAGCCTGATGTGATCATTCCACAATGTATAAATATGCATGGAAATATCACACTGTATCTTTCTCTCTCTCTCTCTCTCTCTCTCTCTCTCTCTCACACACACACACACACACACACACACACACACAATTAGTATTTATCAACCAAAAACTTAAAAGACCTTAAACATGTATCAGAATCATCTGGAAAGCTTAGAGCACAGATTTCTGGGCTGTATCCTCAGAGGTTCTGACCCCACAGTTCTGTTCCTTGAATCTGCATCTTTAACTCTCAGGTAATGCTATCACTGCCAACTAAAGAACCACACTGGGGGCAGTACTGAATCAAGAGGGCATCCTCAATGGCTTCTCAAAGCACTCAAAGATCATTTTCATCTGGCAGAGGACTCTAGGTGGCACAACCTCTCATCTCTCTAATACCGCTGATCTCGTCTCCTCTCACATTCTCTTGGTCACTTCACTGCATGACATCCAAGCACTGTCCCCCAGGTCTCTGCACTACACTTCTGTCTGCCTAAACTCTTTTTCTACAAGACATGCACAAGGCTTGCCCCTCATCTCATAAGATCAGAAAACACAACGTGATGTGGGATATAGGAGAAATAACCTTCCACTGCTCCACCATGGCCCTGCACTCCCACCCCCTTGTCCTGCTTTATTATTCTCCATCACTTATCACCATCTGCTTACTATCTGTCCACCTCCACTAGAATGTAAGTTTCAACGGAATGGGAACTTCATTATATTCAACTGGACATTCAAGTGCAAATAAACAAACCTTAACCCATACTTTGTACCATAAACACTGCTATCTCAACACCGGGAGTTGCCCTCACCCCTATTCTGGGTCTGTTTCTGCCAGTTAGCTCCTTCCATTTACAACTCCACCCTCATAACCCCCCTACCAAAGCAACCATCCGTCTCTTCACAGCTGCACAGCTACCATTCTCTATCCAGTGTACCTCCTAAGTAAGGAGATGAGGCAGCCCCACTCTCAGTGCCTCCATTTAGGGCTTTATCATCTACCCTCATTGGACTCCTATGGATGCAAGGGGAAAAGTTAATCTAGTTTAAACAAAACAGATAAATGTACTTCAGGGATACTAGTTTACTTCCCACAACCAGACAATGGAAAAGGTATGAGCTACTGGACCTGAATGCCAGCAGCCTTCTCTTCTTTATTGGTTTCGTCTATTTTCATCCTAGACCAGCTTCTCCATTAATGGGAACATGGCTTCTCACAGCTATTTAGCCTCAATCAAACAGCTTCTAACACTAGAGAAAGCAGTTAGGCTTTGTTACCAGACCCAAAGTCTTAGGAAGAAAGGTCTGACTGCCAGGTGTAATAGCACACACCTGTAATCCCAGCTACTTAGGAGGCTGAGGCAAAAGGATCACATGAGCCCAGGAGTTCAAGGCCATCCTGGTCAACACAATGAGATACCATCTCAAAAAAATAAGATTTTTTTTTTAAGGGGGTAGGAAGGCCTGAGAACCCAGACTGAGTTAGTTGCCAGCCCAAGACCAAACAACAATAGACACAAGGTCGGGAGGGAGTTATGAGCTCATACAGTACTGACACTGTTTCTAGAAAAGAGGAAACCATCAGCATCCAGGCATCCATCCTAAAAATGTCTACAACACATCTCTCACCTAGTTCATGCCCTTCTCACCAGTCCTGGTCTCTTCAACTTGGTACCCTGAAGCAAGAGCCATCTACTGTTGTGAGCAGTAAATAAATCACCGCTTTAAACTATATAAGCATGGATAGTGAGACGAAGCTTCTAGGAACCCTTCGGTGTGAGAGTGCCTAGAGGAAAACCATTTGCAAGGTGACTCCTGTTGACAGGGAGAATTCCATGCATTCATACCTATATAAATAAACACACAGGCAGGGTGTGCTGGCACACGCTTGTGATCCCTGCAGCTGAGGAGGCTGAGGTAAGAGGATCACAAGTTCAAAGCCAGCCTCGGCAAAAGCAAGCTGCTAAGCAACTCAGCAATACCCTGTCTCTAAATAAAAAAACAGGGCTGGGGATGTGGTTCAGTGGTCAAGTACCCCTGAGTTCAACCCCTGGTACCCCCCCAAAAATATTTCTTAAATAAACAAATACACACACAGACTCTCACGCTGTTTGTTAGAGCCACTCCATCGGAGTTGGTTCACCCACTGAGCACTGTTTTCACTCACAATTGAGTCTTTATCTTTATTTTTATAATTTTTTTCTCCTCCAGTCAGTTATATAGACTGTGCATCACCTTTGGATACTTAAAACATTTTTAAAAAATATTTATTTTTTTAGTTGTAGTTGGACACAATACCTTTATTCTATTAATTTATTTTTATGTGGTGCTGAGGAACGAACATAGGGCCCTGCGCGTGCTAGGCAAGCTCTCTACCGCTGAGCCACAATCTCAGACCCTTAAAACATTTTTTAAAAGGTTATTTCCAGGCTGGTGGGGGTGTACCTCAGAGGTATAGCACTTGACCAGCACACACAAGGCCCTGGGTTTGAACTCCATCACCACTAAAAAAGGTTATCACTTTTATCCTTGCTTTAGACTAAGATTACACAAAAGTATTAATAAAACACCTTTTTAAATCTTTTATGTTGAATTTGCTTTGCCATAACTCCCCAAAGGATGTCCTTTGAACTAATCTTTTATGGAAAAATGACCTATTTTGTCATATAATTATGTGAAAACGTATACAATTCACACAGTTCAGGTGCTTCTGAACTTGTGAAGTTCTATCAACAGTCCATTGGCAGCCTAAAATCTGCAAGACCCTGTGTTATGGATTCTGACTGACAAGCTGGATAAGACATTATTCCTGCCTATGGAGGGTCAAGTCTCTTTAAAGAACAAGGACACAGGGAAGGGTAACAGGGGAAGAGGAAAATTCCTGGAAATAAAGTTGGCAAAACATTCGTAGTTGTTAAGAGTGTCATGAACACTCATGACATCATTCTCTCCTTTGTGTACTTTGAGGGAAAAAATAATATAGGAGGCCTTGCGGACCATCAACATTATAAGCTTTGAAATCTGGTAATCTCTGCATTCCTCCATTCTTTCCTTCCTTATTATTATAATTTTCCTGATAGTAGGAACTTCACAAGTTCAGAAGCACCTTAAACACTTCCTTGCACATATTAACTGACACATGGATGCTGAACTGAATTTGATCAAATCACATAAATACATTTATGTTTAACAGGAGAAAAGAGTTTGCCAAAACTGTAGGCAACAAAATGACTCCCATCATCCAGACTTCTAACAATAAGTGAAGCAGGTTTGCTTCCAAGTGTACCCAGTAAATCAGATTATGTTCTCAAAGGTCAAATCTCCCTATCCTTCCCTCAGAGGCTTCACTTCTGGTCAGTCCCACTTTCTCTCACTTGTAGCAAGCTCTATTCTTAGCTATCTTAGAATAAAAACCCTTGGGGCTGGGGCTGGGACTCAGTGGCGGAGCGCTTGCCTAGCATGTGTGAGGCATTGGTTCAATTCTCAGTACCGCATATCAATAAATAAAATAAAGATCCATTGACAACTAAAAAAATTAAAAAAACTTCAAGCCCATATTCATACTCCTCTTGTCATTCCCAGAAATCCCGTCAGTTTCAAGTCATTCTCCCCTTTACCTTCACTAGCATCTGACTTGGGCCCAACGAATCTCTATACAGTCTTCAACTTTCAATTCCAAAGTCAATTCTACAGTGAGACTTCCCTGTCAAGGTCCTACCCCTCCAGAGCAAGGTGAGGGCCTCCTCCTCCTCCTCCTCCAACATTTGCTCAGTGCCTGACACATTGCCTGAACATATAATAGGGTCAACAGACCTTAGGTGAACAAAGAAAGCCCAGAGGGCAGTCTTGTCTGTTTTACAAGTATGTATTGGGCAGTATTATGTTCAAGACCATGCTAGCCTGCAGTAGATTGCAATCGTTCCCTCAATAAGGTTACAGTACACCCTAAGACATCTTCAGGAAAACAGCATCACTTTAGTTTTTCATTTTACAGATGACAAAAAAGGTTTGCATAAATAAGTACTGTGCCTAACATGATACAAATAGCAAGTGGTATAGAAACTAGATGATCCCAAGCTGTAATTCAAAGTAGAACAGTGCTCTGAGAGTTCTGAGACGTTTCTGCTCCAGCTGGGGAATCATGGAAGCATCATGATTCTGTGT